CGATGTGTATAGCTGTCCATAAAACCTCTCGATCTCACCCAAAACTTCGGCCTTCGTCGACGCCACACTGCCATCCTCCGCCTTCAGCTTCGTCAGCTGTGTTTGCCCAATAGACATGTCCCTAGCGAACACTTTGGAGCCTTGGTTCCGCTCTATCGCTTCTTTAACCCTATTGGCGTTAAAGTTGCGGATATCGTGTCGCATGGACTTCCATATTTGTCTATTGAGCTGCCGATGTGCTTTAGCATCGGCAGAGGTCTGGAGTACCATAGCACGTCGTTCTGCCATGAGTTTGAGGGTGCGATCGGTAAGCTTCTGCGGTCTGTCTTTTCGGCGGGGTCTAAAAAACTTCGACCCGACCGCATGGACAGTTTCTACAAACCTGTTGCTAATCTCGTCCACTGACTCGCAATTCTCCAGGGACTCAAAACGATTCGATAGCTCGATCTGAAAGCTCTCGGGACAACCGATATGTGCATTTGAAGGTCCGAGCGTAGACTTCATCAGACGGGATCTTTCCAGCTTTATATTGATATTCAATGTGCCTCTGACCAGTCGGTGATCGCTGCCGGTTTTTACTTTATGGATCACAGAGACATCATTGAACATCTGTCGCTTTGTTGTCATGATGAAGTCGATCTCATTTTTTGTGGAACCGTCCGGGCTCATCCAGGTCCATTTCCTGTGAGACGGCTTCTGGAAAAAGGAGTTCATCGCAAAGAGGTCCTCCTTCTCCAGGAACTCAGCCAGTCTCTGTCCCCTGTGGTTCCGTTGCCCATACCCGAATTGCCCCACTCTCAGCTCGTTATCGCCTCGAGTTCCCAGTTTCGCGTTGAAGTCCCCCATAACAACATTGAAGTAGGTTTTATTAGTATGTATGGCCCTACTTATGTCCTCATACATAACCTCTACTTCCTCGTCTGGGTGTGTCGAAGTCGGTGCATAAACCTGGATAACCTTCAACGAGTATCTATTGGATACCCTGAGTATCAGGTACGCCACCCTGCTCGACACACTTTCGATGGTAAGAATGTTGTTGACGAGGGACCTGTGGACGAGGAACCCGACACCACCTTGGGACAGTTGTTCGCCCTCCCGGTAGTAGAATAGGTTGCCGGATCTTAGGGTTATCGTGTCCTCGCCCTCTCGTCGGACTTCTGACAACCCCACAATACTCCAGTGCAACCTACCCAATGCCTCTTCCAGCTCAATAATCTTCTCGTACCCGGGTCAAAGGACGTACCCGGGTCAAATATATAATAATATTTTTATTAACATTAAAAAAATAAAAAGTTTTATTTAAAACCATTAGACGAGTTCCTTCGCGAGCCCGCTACGAACGTGCTACGGTTGCTACGAAGCTACGAGTTTGGCTTTAAACCGGCTTTTACAATCATAATATGAGAATTTAGTTTTACTTATAGATTCTGTCATACTCGTATTACGAAGTAACGGTAAACTATAGGCTTATCATCACTAATTGCAATTCAAAAATGATTCCTGTAAAATCAGGAGTAGGAAAGTAAGCCTGTGATTGTGTCCAGTCACGTGACGACCTCGGCACGACCTCGCGCCCCGCACCACGACGCTACCTGTTGCCACCTCCTCTCTATAGCTCCGCTATATTTCGCAAACGCTACCTAATGGCGGAAGACAAGCAAGGCTTCCCGAGATTACAGCCGGCTTTGACTTAACGACTTTATGATTACACGATAGTAACATTACACTCAAACTCAAACGTGATCATATAAAACGATTAAGCTGCAACATAGTACAAGTTTGGAAGGGACAACGATTTCATAAAAACAGAAACATTATTTAGGTCTGGGGAACAGAAATATTATCTGGAAAGTCTAGACTTGAAAGAACGCCTTGAATTCAAAACGAGTATTCCTGAAACTGTGTATGTGGTGCAGAGATTTCCTTTGGCAGAAAATATAGTATCTTAGATTTAATTTAATAGCTTAACTAATGATAATGCTTAATGCTTAGTGGCAGCAGTTTCTTAATTGGTGCGATGTTAAATACTCGTAAAGCTAGTGTGGCTATAAGTATTAATTCCTCTGTGTATAACTAATACAAGACTTGATCCTGCACATGACTTAATTATCTAAGTCGTGACAAAGTCACCAGGGCACTCAGTTAAATGGTTATTGTTGAAATATTGCCAGCTGTTGGACCGTGACGCGACTGCAAGGAGGAACATTAAACTTAAACGGAAAATATATTACAAGTCGTTTGTTTACATTTTCAAATAAAAATACTTAACGAGGCTCTTATATTATGTTACAAAGGCTTTGAATATATTATTTGCATATTAATGCTACCTAGGTGGTTTAAAAATATATACATTTTAATAATGTAACTAACAGAAAGTGGACAGACAGTATGTATGTGTCTAACCGAAAATTTCGCAATCCCAATAAAGTTGTTGAGGAGAAACCAAGTTCTTCAACGTAAAATATTTGAAGCGAACACAGTTACACATAAGTCAGTACCGATGGCAAAGTTATTTCAAGTTAAACGAGTAATAAAAAGCGCTCGTTATTCCTTGTAAGGGTTGAAGTTAGCGTGACACGGTGACACCCTCGTGTTCAGGAGTCACGTTTACGAGCACTGGACCTGCGAGGCCGACAGTATACACTGGCGTATATTTAAAATAATACAACCTTATTATTGGCGTAATTATGAAGCGATGCACAATTTGACATTTGTCCCCCAAGCTAAATCACCGCGTGATGCCCGGAAGCTGCGTATTACGATGCTGTGATACTCTGTAATCTGCTATACATGTCTGTTCCCGCGGATGCGGCCGGCTATTATAATGTGCACACACCGTGTACTCGGCTAATATAATTGAATAAATCACGCATATTCTTGCACACACACTTTAATCATGCAAATTATCTGATATCACACCGCATCCACAATAATGGTGTTTATTTATAAATATTTAATTGGCAACATTTTTCACGCTATTGTTTTTTTTCTTTAATGCCGTGTAAATAATATGCACTGTGACAGGTTATTATTTATTTTAAAATGGAATGGTTGTAAATATGATTCCTATTCACATTATACCAAGTTATTTTTTTAAGTAAGTATATTGTTGTATAAGTTATTGCCTGAATACATCATTGTTCTAATATTACTGTCGTCTTTTGTTACCTGATTGTGTGCCTACGTAATAAGTCGCTCTACATCTAAAATTTGGTTGCTGGGTCCATGACACTGACCCCTGCTGGTAGCTGAGTCAGTGTACTGATGTCATTCCAGTAAATCAGTGGAGTAGGAAGTGACCATGGCTCGCTCGTACGCCAGCCGGCTGATAATTGCCATAATTCAATTAAACTCTGATTGCGGGTTCGATTGTTTTGCCATGAATACTCAGCAGATGTCGTCACCCAGGATTTTTCCGTCAGATCTCAGATGCGTGGCCTAAGTACCTAAGCTATAGACTAGACTTCATTGTATGCGTTATCTAACAGAATGTATACGCTGAGCAGTAATATGTACCATCACTTAATACAGTAGGTACATTTACTGATGCAAAAAAAAACCTTCTTAATAAATCTGGTAAACGAGATTATCTTAACAATATTTTAATCGATTTTCTATTATATCTTTTTTTATGGGATACGCAACACCAAAGGAATTACGAGTGCGTTGCCGGCCTTTTAAAGATAAGGGTTTCGGATATTTAAGGATAAGAAGAGAGATTGTTCCTCCAGTAACCTCACTCACACGGCGAACCACAACGCTGTTATTGCTTCACGCCTGTTTTTTTGTGAGGTCGTGGTACTCCGGTCGAGCCGAAGTATGGCTTTCCCACACTTAATCTCAATCTTTAATCTTTTAATCTTTGAGCTTACAAACATAATCACCAAATACCTACGTAGAAGGTTTGTTAGAATGATACTGAATGCCAGAATGGGGTGTGTGGTCTGTATGTCAGTCACGCACCCTCTGTGTATACTGCAGCGTCGAGTTTCCAATTTCCATACATTTTCATAATATTGATAAGTGACGTAATGGCGGACTATGGCGCAGCGAGTCCTTCACTGTTTTGTTACGAGGTTCCTGTCTACGTGAGCAACTACATGTATGTCTACAGGCATGTAGATACACTAAACACACTAAAATGTAAACTTAAGCAATTAGGAATGTTTTAACTTGTTTAAAGTTCTAAAGGTTTGATTTAAAAAAAATCCCCTTTTTTTGTGAGGGGAAAATCATCAAATGACTTCTTCTTCTCTTCCCGCCCAGGGCCGGGCGGGAGGGAGTGTCAGACTCTTACTGACTAAAAATCCCCCTGTTCCTTCTCCTGCTCTGGGCCGAGGTCGCGGTGCCTCATTGCGCTTACCCCGACACCCCGGCTCCCCTACATTTGTTGTGAACTCTTGTGATTTTGATTTTGAGATAGATTTACCATAACATAAGCATGAAGCTTAGTGGTTTTGGTAGCAATTAAAAATTAATAATTCTATATTGTTTTGCATTAAGAAATATGTACGACTCGCTAATGACGTAATATGACAGTATATAAATAGTTGCTATAAATCCCAGGACCCACCCATATATATGTTACTCCAATACCACCGCACTCCTCGCCTGCCATGTTCCGTTCACACAGCTTCGTGGATGTGCCGGTTACGTGCTATTAGAACTCGGAGAGCACTTTGACCAGCTACTGAACCAGGCTTTAGTTACCTCTAATTATTCTTTGTCTTAACATTAAAAAGAGTTGATTTTGAAGAAATCGTATAAATACTTACCTTCAAAAAATTACGAAATCAATAAATTGATAACCATTTCGTACAGGAGAAAGAAAATGTATTTCTTTAATTGTTTTTGAAACCGTCTAACGTGATTGCGAAGACTATGGCCCTACAACAATATCGGCACTTCATAACTGTTATAATAGAGTTTAACGTGTAAACTATAATGATATAAAGAACTGGAAAGTTCTACAACCTTCAAAATGATAGCGATCGATTGTGATCACAAACGAAAGACGAGGTTCTTGCAAGCATTCATTTATTTACTAAGGCTTCGGTGTGTTCAATACAAAACGTAGAAAAATGTTAAAATTAAATGCCGGGAAATGCATTATTTTAAGTGCTTAAGTAAAGGGATTAGGGGCTCACGTACACTGACACAATGTGCGCTTTGTATGTCTATACATCATTTGAAGTCAAACTATAAGAATGTTTCTTTTTCTATACTATTCCTGATTGGTTCGAGTGTCAAGAGTACATCTGAGCCCAGTTAGTAGTAGTAAGTAGTATTATATTAATTGTGCGGTTAGAAGTTAACACTTTCTGTAGCAGCGCCTGCGCCGAGCCATGGCGCGTGGACACGCTGCGCCGCCCGGACCCGGCTGCACCTGTACAACATACACATGAAATCAGTCACATACTATGTCTAGGATTTAAGTCATCAGGTTAACCTACGCTGTAAGTCATTTCATCTCTGTTCTTTGTAATAAGATAAGACAATCTTTTGATTTCTTCGCAGGTAGGGTTGGTTGATAAAATAATCTAGCTACAGTATTAAATGAATTATAATTCCAAACATATGAATATTATTGTAACTCAGACCTTTGTATCGTCTAATTATTTTATGTTTAAACTTAAAGGCTAGCTAAACCTATAAACGGTTTTAAGTAGATAAGTAATTGTACTGAATTTTGTATACAATAATAGGGCTGAAATCTTCGGTTTGGAAAAAAGCCCTTTTTATAAAATAAAGATTAAAAAAAACTCAGACCTATTACTTTCCAGATTTTTATAAAAACAATGGTAACAAAGTGTTATATATCATAGGGCAACTAGTGTTAACAAATCAAAATGTCAAAAACTAAGTGTACTATTCAAATATAAACTAGCATGTTTGTATTTATTCCAACTAACATTATATCGTGTACTCATATCACTATCGGCAAGCTATGATTTCATGGCGTTAAATAAATAGCGAGCCGTAATACATTTATTTAATTTTATACAATTTGTTTGTTCAGCCACACACACAAACACATACACATATACACGCCGCACTATTTATTTCTGTGAACGGTATCTAGTGAAGAGATTTATTTCTATACTTTTAAATGTCACATCTATTTGCTTTCGGATATCGTTATTGTTGGAATTATCCAACGTAAATAGAATGAGTAGTGTCTAAAGACATTTCGCATGTTTTTCGCGACGGCCGCTACCGCCGCCCTAGTGGCCGTACGCAGCAACCTTGACCTGTCACAATAAGGCGGGCCACACACTTGTCTCCAATTATCACAATCACGCTGCCACAACACAGTCGCTCGTACAAGTGCACTGGTACTGGCCAGTACAACGCCAGATATTTCAGTAATGATTGATTGAATCAATCAAGACTTCCAGACCAGTTTATTAAATTACATGTTCTTTTGATTAGCATCGAACCATTCGGACACTTGAACTTGTGACTGCTAATGTATGAAATAAATCTTCGTTTGTAAGGTCATTGCTATGATGCTGCTGCGGCTGGTTGCGTGATTCATTTCGCGTGGTTGCTTTATTTGGTCGATGCTTGGCGTGACCCGGCGGCAAGCTATTTGCGAATCTATCAGCCGGTATAAATTGAAAAAAAGACAAATTATTATTTATAAAGAACTAAAACTATCTGACTTCTACCTCAAGTTTGTACGAGTCTTCTAACCTAACGAACCACCATTATAACCACGCTAAACACCGCCACATATATTGCTGATCCACTATCTTAGATTTCATATAACCGATAGCTTAACGATTTAACTATTCCACGTTAACGTCGAATCTAGCAAACATTTACACAATATACCGTACAATGAAATACCAATAAAACTGTTATAATTACATATTAATATTGTAGTAGACAAGGATGACGAACTGACAGGCTGACACATTGCGTTTCTCACTACATTTTACGTTGTTTCTTTACAGGTAAGCTGTTCCCACGAAATACTCGGAGTCCGTGTTACGTGACCCTGCCAGTATGCGGTACGTCCTTATAATACAAGCTTTGGTAATTATTGATAATTACATGACTTTACATATGCTTTTTTGATAAGGCGAAGGACACCTGACATTAACAAGTCATGTCATAACCTTTAAGAAATTAGGTAAAGTAGATGCTCAAGTAACTTAAAGAAATTACGTACCTAATTTTGAAGAGATAGATTCTCTAATTAATCAGATTCTTAGTAAACTGAATAAAGAGTGTATAATGGATATTATATACTATGGTTTATAATAAAGATTGCCAGTTCATGCAAAGTAGGAGTCGGTATTATAATGGCAATGCCAGCACCATAGCTCAAGACTCGCTGGTCGGTGTAGCCGGCTGGTGGTTGCGGCGATATCGATTAAGTATCGTTTGTCCACCTTGCATCGTGATGTCTTTACAAAAACCCATAACTACAATAATGCTATCGTATAGTACACAAGCAATACTTCGTTATTTGCCAAAAATATTTCAAAACGGTATCATTTTTGAATAAATCAAATCGTGTTCTAAAATGACATAGGATAGAATGTTGATTTTATAACTTTTTAATGGAAGCGAGCACACTCGAACGCGCCGGCAAACAATCGGCACACAGGTACCCATAACGCCAAAGGAGTAGCTAATGTGTTGCCAGCCTTTTTGGGTTAGGGATTGGGTTGGAATAACTGTTATACTTAAAGTTTTCATTGCATTTGTAAGTTATTATAAAGACCTTATTATACGGTTACCTATTTGTATTTGTGTAAAACAATTCACATAATTCTAGAAATGCGACTTGTAGCTAATGTTCGTCGCTACGTCATAAATGTTTGTCTCATGTTTTGTAAACACAAAGTGATGAGCTCGTTACGAATTATTTTTAATATTCTCTCTTTGTTCGACACAATAGAAGTAAGTATAACAAATAACAGGCATGTTATGAAGCCGTGTTTGTTTGTACATCAGTTACCACAAACAACCTGCATCACTCATGCCAATTGAACAAATAAAGATATGATCTAATGACGCGTGAAAACCGAATCGTAAAAAAATTAAATATCTTAATACAAGCCAGACGTTTTATATAATTCTTTAAAAGTAAATAAAGTATTGATTTGCAGAATCAATAAAATGGTTTGCACGGTTGTAGTCCACTCGAATGTGTCCGTATGAATAATGTGTTGGTAAAACGCGGGAACAATTCGGACCATAGACAAGAAGGAGGAAAGAAGGCTAGGTCGTGACAAATACGTGGTCGCTGCCACTCGCCCTTATCTATGGTAAACGCGCTACGTAGGACGCACGCTACGACGCGTGGTACTGCGGCAGCGTAGCACGGCAGGACTGACCAAATAGTTCTAATAAATAATTCTATATCCATAAATAAATGCTAGTTTACAATTGCAACGCGCCCTCTGGTGTTTGTGCACTGTGCAGTGACTCGGCGAGGTCAGCTCGACTGTTGTCTCTGTGATTGATCACTATTTTTAGATCCGATGACTGTTATAACGAGTCAACCTTCCCATCAATTTCTCTGCACCGTATGATGGTTGATTCATTTTAAAAGGCTTTTTGATTGTTCTTTGATACAATAATGTGAACAATTAGAACGAATGCTGTTAATATATAAGAAAACAAAAGACATCTAGCCCAACTAGATATAACGCATTTCACCAAAAAGGTTAAAACATAAAACTCTTAAGTCATCTTATACGTGAAGTTATTTAAATAGCAAACAAGGATTTGTTACAGGGTTACCTAAGTTAAATAGCCGTCAAACTTGCCCATACATACATATATGTACAGTATATAATACTATGTAGGTACATATACATTATCTACATGCGTTTGCTTTCCACGTGCTTAAATACATGACATTACAAATCAATACTACGGGCAAATGTCCATGGAATATCAATACTTATCGTGAATATTCAGAATCAAATCCTCTTTATATCATGGGTGGATGTATGCCTCTTTCATGTGAAAACTACTGAATAAATCTTGATGAAAAGCAAAAGATAAGTTTATAAGTAATCTGTAATAACACGTAGGCTACTTGACATCTGAGTAACTTAATTAAGTTAGTAGTTACCTACCTTAATAAAAATACCTATAGTAGGTACGTTTAATTCAACCTTAATAGACTCTGTTTTGTTTGTAAGCGAACCTAATGACACGAAATAACTTGTTAACACTATTAATCCACAACTTAACAGTTGTATCTATCAATGTAATCACGCGAACGATTCACTCACACTACAAACATTAGAGTAATTTAGAGTTTAAATATAGCTTATACAATTACAAATCTATATAGACTTTGATGCGAATGCACCTATTACTCGTTGTCATTATTATGATGCAGGTACAAAGTCTACAAACTTTCGTTCAGTCAATAGTTTATAAGAAGACGCTACTATTACTAGCACAAACATCTGTTTTTCTGTTGGCTACGCGACGTCGCCGCGACGCTACTCATGAACATGAATCCCATTGTAGCTTGAAACTAGTAGAGCTTTTCTCAATTAATTCGTTCGAGTAAGTCGTTACTTTTCTATAAATTCAATAAATCAAAAACTCTTTGACAAAAGTTCTATTATTTTTAAACTACACCAGGACTTGCACGTATAGCGAACGGCTTCTTACCTTCTAGTATGGTGTAAATTGTATTCTCCAAAAAGAACTGTTATAGTTACTATTTTTCTATACGTTTAAACTCACCAGCACAGTCCTGGTGCGCTCCTGGTATCCGGTGCCGCAGGAGACGGAGCACTTGCTCCACTCGCCCCACGGACTCACTTGGCAGTCCCCGGCCTGAGCCAGAGATGGTCCTGTACAAGAAACAATAAAACAATGAATTCAGTTTTGCAAATAGGCCATAAAAAGCACTTTTACTCGTCAAGAGATACAAAACGTTTAACACAAGTGGTTTTAAATTGTTGTCACAATGACGAAACCCCAAAAACGAGTTGTTCAGTCTGAAGGTGGATGTGTCCGCATAAGGAGAAGCCAAAATACTTCGCGGCAGACCTTGACCCACCCGCGGCGATATAAATAGACACCCGATGTGACGAACCCTGCCCAACCTAGGCACGCTTGTGTTAGGACTTATCCGCATTCGCACTGTTCCACTAACTTCAACCACATACTCTCCACATGTGTTATTGTATAAGCGTAACTGGGTGAACTTTTAATAGGCAATTAATTCATTACCAAAAACAAGGCCAAGTTCAATACCCCATGTTGTCGGCGCACATTTCCATTTTGAAAATCTTTAATGATGACGTTTTGAAATCCAGTTCCAATCAAAGGCCTGTGAGGCGTCAGCTATAAATATTTACCATTAACGTTATTGGACGTTGGCACGGCGTTGTTGAGTGTAGGGCCCGGCAATGCGCCCGGTACTGGACCCAATTGTGGTGGGAGACCTGCCGGTGGGGCGCCTCCTCCTACATAACCATACATACATTAGATATTTTACAAGAAACGGAAAATAAAGATAACTGAAAAAAATGAAGGACTTGAAATTAACTGAAAACAATTATTTCTTAATTTAGTTCTCTTAGCCTCCGAATAAGTAAGTAGTTCATGTCCCTAAAAACCATTTGGTTTCACTATTTCAGTATACTTTTATTCGTAGCCACGAAAACCTTCACTCAACCAAAGTAGACAACAGTTGCACTACTTAAAAAAAATATGGAGTTTATTACTATATAATAAAGGACTGCGTAGCTTGTAATTTCCTGTAGGTTATATGGAAATTCTGACCCTACGACCGCCATTTAACGATAGGGCTAATCGAAGCGTCAAATTGTCATCATTTATATCGTTGTCCTTTCATTCATACACATATTATTATACATATAGCTACGGTACCGGTATAGGCGTCCATTATACAATACATAGTTATTTTCACATTAGTAAGTAAGTACTAGGAAAATGATAAATACTCGTATATCGACGAATTTGTATTGTTATGTCTGTGCTATTAGCCAGTACACAATGGAACACAATATTTTGTAAGTACTTTAGTAGAAATTGTCGCCAAGTCGTTAACTAGTTATTATAACTGTCAGAAACATGGGCAATCAGCATTAAACAATACTTGGTGGCTACTTTTATAGTTCCCACTAATGGGCTGCTATGAAAAACCAGTGTTATTGACATTGCAGGTAGCTACAATAGGTACCCTCATCCGGTGAGGGATATTTTTAAAGCCTCATGAGAAAATTACGTGAAAAGTTACTGCGAGACGGTAGGTAGTGCAAAAAGTCACCGAGTGACTGAATTTAAAGTTCCTAACTTATAGTTGGTTCTCTTGTAAATAAATTTAACTTTGTAGCCATCATGTAAGTATAATTATAACTCACGCTAAATTTCTCTCAGAATTGAATTGTCTTAGATCACTGAAGCTGGCATCAACATGCTGACGTTAAAACTTAATATAGACATCACCTATAGTTCCCGTTTCCACTGCTACCTACTGACCATACTCGCCGCATCCGGAAGTTAAACTTTAGATATTGATTATGTGTTGATGTTGTATTAGTTTCTTACGCATATCTACGTAGCTCTAATCGTACTTCAAGAGGACGCATGCACTGAGTCGCGTCCACTTAGGTGCGAGACAAAAATATACGAAGTCGTGATAAATATATTCACCCTAGTTTCAACACACCTACTCATATATTTTATTGCTATTCTGGAAAAAATCTCAGAATTTTAATATTCTCTATGTATGTGTTTGAAAATTCAGAAATAAATATACAGACAGACATGACGATTAGGTATTCTAAATAGAATATTGTTGTGTTCAGACGGCGCGCGACGTGTGCGACGTTTGTCTATTTTTTTGTTCTATAATGATATAATGTACGAAATTAACATGTCAGACACGTAACGTTACAGATTTAACGAAGAATTCAAACAAAAGGAATGTCAAGACATTTGTATTTTTACGAGAGAATCGTAAACTTAAAATTGGTGGAGAGATGTGACGTCACGCGGTGACGTGATCGTGACCTCACCGTCTGGGGGTGATCTGCACAGATTGCCGGGGTCACGCGTCTACCTCACACGCACACACGCACGTACACCTACATACGACCTGTAACTCGTAAATTCCGCCTTTGTTGACTGCCTTTTGACAGTTCGTTCCAATGTTTACAAGCCAAAAATAATTTTGTACAAACAAATCAGTTGTTTGATCTCTGAAACATAAAAGAGCTCTCGTACATGTGAGTCTGGATAGCGCGAGAAATGGATCACAAAGTGCTCTCTGCACGATCTAATAAACTATAATTAATTACAATAATCTGACAGGCTAACTAAACTGATATACGGCGGCTGTCAGCTGGGCCGCGATGCAAATACCTACTACAGATCATAGCATATCGGCTTTGCGAGCCAGGATGTAATGAGAGATGAGTTAATGACCCTAAGCAAGGGACGCCAGCAGATGCCGTGATGCTGGAAGGTCGAGATGGTTCCCACCTGGCGACTGAGTCACGGCTGGCAGAGCGCCAGCGCCGGCACGAGCCGGGGACGCGGCTATCAATTACTACAGATACAAATTATTTGACAGACATAAGATAAAGCGCTATTTGAGTGCTTCCGTCGTTTTATACTTAGGACCTATATTTATTAATATAAACCTGTATTCATAAGTACTGCATGCCCATTTTGTATAATTTAAATAGAACATTTTTTCAACGATAGAACCTTTAGATTGTTTTATGTTCCACTCGCTTCTGTAACTAACATACTTCTTTCAAATTCTAAATTATATCTGGCGTTACGGCACATTCCTGTTAAAATGTACACGGACAATGTTTAGATCATAGTTTATCAATTAATTGACCAACAATCAGAAAGACGTGAGACGTGTGTTTGAAAAGAATCAAGAGCCTTCATAGGTGCATGTATGTATAATCGTCAACAAATAAAGTCTGTCATTCATTGTTCACACAAACTGTAATAACATTATACAATGGACTTCGCGACTCCGTACCCGACTGTGAGATTGTGAAATAACTTCTTGTTGCGTTACCAAACTTTAATTTGAAATATGGAAGATAATACATATCTGTTAAATGTTATGAAAAATATTTAGTTTTTATTCCGCTACAAAAACCCAGGCTTGTTGCAGGATGCAATCCCACTCTTAAAGACTCCACTCTCAAAACCCTCGGTGCTCGGATTCGCAGCATTCATAAACGTATAATATCAAGTTATACATCATTTTCATGTCGTATTCTAGCTAAATTAATACAAATAGAATTGCAACAATAACAAATGTTAAGTGTGTAGGTAGGTACAACTTGCTAAAGTGCCACAAAATTGCCGTTTTTGACTTTTGGAAAAAATATTTAATTTCTTCTTGAGTTAGAAACTCGTCAATTGTAACGTCAATAAATTGTTCGCATAAACCCAACGGTTTTAGTAAAGCAGTTCAGACAGCAATTGTTCCACAAATGTCAACACAAACAGCACGACACGTAACAAACATAGAGGACATGGCAGTGAGCTCCAGTGATGTCACAGGGGGAGGGAAGTATGACGTCAGACCTGGTCACCCAGCGGCCCACTGCGCTACATTGCGAGCCATGGTATGATACCCCTCGCGACCGACTGGCCCACTGCCCAATGTTTTGTTTCCACCAAATCAGGGAGCCAATTAATCATTTTGACGTTCTCGTATGTTTTATACAAATAGGGTAATGAAGTGGGCCGTCGTAATTACCCGGCAGCACCTATGTACTATGTCGATACATCTGGTCGGTATAAACTTAGCGTGGGTCTGATTCATCGTGAATTATGTTGTGTAATAAATTAATGTTATTTTATGTAGGTATAGGTATCGTATTTTCAAACTATTTGAGCAGACGCAAATAAATAAGCTACGAAGACTTTACAAATGATATAATGGCGATCATAAGTTTTTATGTATCATGAAATTTTTGTTTATTTTATTTTCAATAAGTCTGTCTATAGATACTGATTATTCATCGAATGATTCAGAATAGTATCTAGAACATCTGAACAAGTTTCTGCGACGGGTGCGAACTATTTCTTCTAATATGGTGTTATCAAGTTGCCCAATGTGACCTATGATGAGCGGGATGAAGTGTCACATCGTGAATTACATGTTAATATAGTCATGGCAATTATATTTGAACCTTATGGTGTACTGCGTATGATTTTAGACAAAGTGCCAGCAGCAACAAGTAGTTAGTATGTAGTAGGTACTGAGTCCAGTTTATAAACAAATGAAAGCTCTCACTACGCTTGGATTTTTTTAATCTGACAGCCAGAGCGAGAACAAATTCTGAATCTCAGAAATAAATTATTTGTAAATCAAAGACAGTTTACAGCCTAATCATGTGACAAGGAAGATATACCTAGTATGACGCTGCAGGTGTTGGTGCAGTCCTCCTGCGTGATGAAGTTGTTCTGGTTGCCGCGACAGCCTCCGTATGCGAAGGGCACGCACATACCCTTCTGAGCCATGAACGTCCAGCGCTGGTACAGCCCGCGGCACGGGCCAGGGTCCGCCTCCTCCATGCAAATACCTGGCAAAGCAAATATTTAGTGTAGCTATACAATAAATTCTTACCTATCATTAAATTGATAACTGACCGGCCCCTAATACGAGGCATGTATGTCATAACTAACAAAAACGGGAATGAAAGGATTGTTCTTATATTTAATTTCGATTGTGGAAACCAACAAGCGACTAAATGGATTTAATGGATACGCCCTCTGGATCCGGTACTCCTACGAGGTTATGAACACGCTAGTACTATTTTTATGATCGCCGTAACTCAAGCTCGGATGGCCTTGTGCTGTAAATTACAATTTTATTAACATTCAGATTTCGCAGTGATTCTGTCAACATCTCGGGGCGCACGGGGCGGCGTCAGCGTGCCAAGGTGCAGAGTGGCTGTAACATTGGTAGTGGCAGTGTGGTTAATGGTCCCTGCTGCTAGAGTATTGTGCGAATTACAAAGTAAATGTTAAAGTCGTTGTAATACATTCGCCAGTTGCAGCCGTATGTGTGCGCGCTTCATTGCTATGTATGTAGCAGTGTGAAGCCGGCGGGCATCCATGTGATAAGCTGATACATTGTAACTTACGTCGCGTAGCTACTGATACGAAGTAATTGTTCATATATTTTGTTACATGCGATGACAATTTTCAAACCGGAATACCGGCAAACCTAATTTAATTAGTTAATACAATACAACAACTACGCGTAATTTATTTAGAAAAATCGAAAATTCAGGTAATGAATTTTCGATTTTAAAAAAAAGTTTTGTAATAATACATTAGAATTTGATTGCGCAAAAAAAAAGAAAATTAAAAATGCATCTTTGACCTTCAATATCTCGAGAACCCGTGGAGTCCCAGCTATGGTCTTAAAGAAAAAAATGATCCAAATAATGGGTAGAATACGTGGCTATCGGCTTCGTTAAGTGTCTTTTCACACCCTGTATATGTAAATTTTATAATAGGAAACGTTTGAAGAGTACATCATCAGTAAAGACTTCAGTAAAGAAGTAGGTACTCACGTTTAGCAGTGAGCATGTCGATGGCGCAGCTGTCCCGCTCCTGGCAGGGCCGCTGCTGCATGAGCTCGACCTTGGCGGAGCAGTCCTGCTGGCGGTCGGCCGGCACCAGCAGCAGGCGCATGCGGAAGCGCACGCCGCGGCCGCACGACGCCGAGCACGGCGACCACGCCGCCCACTCCGTCGTGGGGCACGCCGGGTCCGACACCTCGCGCTCCTCCTCCGCGCACTGCGGCTCCATACACTTGCGGTTCTCCTCTGGGGTGCATTTAATGCTTTACAAACTGACACAAAGCATTACCTAGCCGTACGGGTCAGTGACCAAACTACCAAACATCGACGTATCGCTTTCGTATAGCTTATTGTGCGCGACCTAACTATTTACCTCATTAGATTTAATTGTTATCCATTCACAGTACCGAAAATATATCAGTCCTGGCACATCCTAATTAAATACTAACCCCGATCACTAATCACACATCTTATTTTTAATTCTCGCTGATAACATTTTGTTGAATCCTACAGTCGTACAGTTCCTGATTTTCCATCTACAATGTTTACATTTCAAGCGCTGACATCTAGCGGTCGTCACGCGAACTACGCATAACTAGCAACCGTAGCCTGTAGCCAAGCGGTTGTACGTTGAACTTTACGAGTCTACGGTAAAAGTAAATATGTGTCGCTAGTAGGCGGTCGCACTTTTTATGTAAATGAGTAGTTAGTTACCCGTGGCCACGAGCGGGCACTTCTTGATGCCCATGTGGTTGAGGAAGTGCCTCCGTCGCGTAGAGACCCCGACGCCGCAGGTGACGGAGCACTCGCTCCACGGGCCCCACTCCGACGTCTCGCAGATGCCCTCGTTGGCCTCAATGGGGGTCGCGTTGTTGTCCGAGTCTTCAGGAACTCCGTTGTCACCTCTGTTGATAAAATAAACACGATACTTAGTTCTTTTTAATCCCTGACGAAATAAATTGTATACCTAAGTAAAAAAATAAAAGAATTGTAATTTTGTCACTGTGAAGGCAACTGACCGCTATTAGGTATAAACAGGCATCGCGACAACACTATACAAAAAAATATATAGGTACATACATTCAACAGTCGATCCGTTTATTACATAGGTGACCTATTCTATTATTAATAATTTTTTAATGGTCACTTATTTCGTTTTTTCATACTTTTAGTGTCGAGAGTCGGAAGATTTAGTAATATTTATTTTTATTAACATAGTTTTTATAAAATAGTGGTATTAGATTTTGTAATCATTCAAATGTATGTGCAATTCAGACCATTCTTTTCCTCATAAACTGCTGAGCTATGAGCTATGAGATTGGCGATTGGTTATACATATACATATGTGGCTGTACTGACTCGCACTCTGGCACGGCGGCGACACACATCTCCTTGGAGACGAGCTGGCGGTCGCAAGAGAACATCTGCGCCTTCTGCGGCATGCGGTACTCGCGGGTGCGCATGCGCAGCCCCTTGCCGCAGCTCACCGAGCACTGCGACCACGCGCTCCACTCCGTCACCGCGCACTCCGCTGCAAAGTGTATTAAATACTTAATATATTTTTGAGAAGCTACACACATGTTACATTAGCTATCGTATTCCAAGTGGAAGCATCCTGACTGAGTAGTGGTACTGACGCCTGCTGACAGTCTGCGTGTTCTCCTCCTCCTCCACAACTTGCTGCAGCAGTACCTCCTCGTCACACGAGCGGGAGATGAGGCGCTCCCGCGTGAGGTAGAGGCGCGCCATGGGAGGCACCTCAGTCGCGCCAGGCTTGTAGAACGGTGCGCGAGGGTCCTCCGGGTACATGGGCGTGATGCGGTACATCTTCTCGCGAGGTACTGTCTCCGAGTTTGGTGACTGAAACAACATTCTTGTTGATTAAAACCTTGTCCTGCGTAGGGCCTGCGTAGTCTGCGACGAAGAAAGTTACTACCAGCGGCTTCTATTTGCATTTATAAACACTATCAAACGGGTCCACATTAAAAGATTTTCATGTACTCCATGCCACTTTTTTTTGAAAAAACATACGTTAGGATTTTTGAACAAAACTTGTAATTTACTTAATTTAGGTACATAGACGAACCAACCAGACCCAAATCAACAAATTTTGTGGATTACACAAAGTGTGGTTCCGAGCAGGAATCTGACCTGCGATATTTCACTCAGTAGCCAGTTTCCCAGCCACTGCGCCACCCGTGCAGTCGTTGTAACGTAACTTCTAGACTAAATTAGGAAATGGCGCAAAAATATTGTTAAGAAGCGAAGCTTTCTTACCATGTAGGAGATGCCGTTGTCGGTACCAGCATCGTAGGGGAACAGGTCCACCACCTTGGACTCGGCCCAGGTGCAGTCCTTCTGGCACAGGTTCAGACCGCTCACGCCAACCACCCAGTCGGGAGATGGACCTACGACACGAGATGCAAAATTATATTAGTATATTAGTATTAATAATAAATTATTTTTCTTTCTTCTTTCTTTCTATATTAACTAAGTTAAAATTGTAGTCAGTAGGTAGGAGAAATTATATCTCAAAGTCCGTGTCCTTTTTATATAAAGCTTAAAGCATGATATAAAATAAGTGCCTACCGAACATGGAAGCGAGTGAGAGGAAGGGCCTCTTCCTGTCAGTGGTGAAGGCGGCGCTGGTGTTGGAGTTGACCCGAGGGTGCCACAGCCCCTGCGCCTTCACGATTGAGCGCAGCTTTGAGCCCTGCTGCCGCAGCTCCGCCTCCAGTAGCCCTACTGAACCCCACTCCGCCAATGACCTGGATAAAGTTATACCACATAAAATCAATTATACAATTTTATAAATTTATACAGTAGTAAGCAAACAATCACCTGAAGCCGTCGGTAGCGATCTCTCCTTCTCCCCAGAATTTGAAGTTCTTGGGATGCGTGGCGCCGATGACGTCAGAGAAGTGTGTCAGCCACATGGCCTGCACTGGGAAATCCTTGGGGTGTGTCTGTGGTGACCACAAACCTTCGAACACCATCTGTAAATAGCACACACTTTTTGGAATATTGTCTTCTTAATATTATTCATTTATTTATACTTGCTTCGATGCAAGTATTGGGAATATTGTTTGATCACAATAAATAGCTTAATATTGACTGACCCTGTACTTGGCATCGTCGCAGGCGCAGCAGTCGCTGGACTGCAGCGAGGTGTCCTCACACACTCGCTTGGTCAGCTGGCCGTCCTCCGCGAACCAGCGGCTCGCGTTCTCGTACACCATCGCCCTGGTGGGTAAAGTGCCATTAAAATAAATAACATTTCAATCCTTTGTGCTTACATCTTAAAACTACGTAACGGATTTTTAATGCAGTTTTTTTTAATATATACAGCGATTGAAGGTTAATATTTCAAATAATATCGATTAAATAGTGGAGAAGTTTAGTATCAAAATTAAATAGTATTGCTCCCGTACGAAGCCAGGGCGGCAGTAATAATGTAAAGTAAATTAAAATAAATTCACAACATACTTGAGCAGCACACAACCGGAGCCGGCAGGGGGCGCCTTCCACATAACCTGCACCTCAGTCTTGGGCAGGTCATCAGACTCGATGACGGAGTTGGTGCACTCCTCGTCGAACCTGGTGAGGGTGTCAGCGAACAGCTGGAACTGTCCTTGCTTGCTAGGCGCCCGCAGTGCAGCGGGGTCGAGGGGGTCCAGCTTGAGCTGGAACTTCGTGAACTGCTGCACTACATCGTGGGTGCGGGATCCCACCAACGTCACTGAAATTGCAATAAAGTTGCTTTATTTTTAAGTTTGTACGGTATTGTAAAGTCACGAAATTCGTAGATACTACGAACCATATTCTGTAGTTTCATTTTTGTACTGAGAGATATCTAGTAACGGTTACATAAAACACAAAGTTTGTCAGTTTCCAGATGTAGGTAGCAGGAAAGAGGTTTGAAATGAAACCTAACTGTATATCGGATAAAGTTCCAAGTATTTCAGCATCAACACAGCATCCGGGATGATTATCGTTTCATGTTAAATAATGCATGCACCATAAAGTATGTGACACATATGTAGGTACTCGTGCATATAAATTGTGTGTTATCATTACAAAATATATGTACCTTCATAAGATGTATTTCATGTTCACTCGAAGGATCTGGGACGATCTCTACTCTGGACTGAATAATAACGTAATCTTCTGTCTGACCTCATTGTTTCTATAAGTTAACTCGCGGAAATATTTCTAGCGAGATAAAAAGTTGATAATAAATTGCCACCAAATGTAATAACTTAATTCGGATAAGATTTTTTTCCATCTTAAAGTCACTCGACAGACTTTTTTATAGTTAATGGCTTAAGTAACTCGATGAACACTGTCTACAGTTGTAAACACATTGCTGCATGCTAGATACCACCCGAGTTGTAGGTACACATTGTTTTGTGTGTAAATCGAACCCGCGTTAAGCAGCAGCCAGACACTCATGCCTACCTTATAGCTTCTAACTAGGTATGGCGCGGTGTGGTTTAGCTGAGACCCTACACTTGTATAATTACTTGTGACTGTCACGTGAACGTTGGGGACTAGAAGAAATTGCCTTCTGTTCAAGAAAGGAAAATATAAATGACTTGTACTTAAAATTTAAATACAATATTTGCATTATACAGACCCACGTATCTCTCTCCGGGAGCATATCGCTCCACTTCTCCGTTGACGATTAGCCTGTAGAAGTTGTCTCCCGGGGACTTGGGCCTCGCAGGCTCGCGCGGCCTCAACTCACAGGCCTGCGCGTGCGCAGCGACCAGTAACACCACACAAAGCTGCCACATGTCGCCCTAGCAAACACGCGTACACTTTATTATAGGTACTGACTATAACTATTTATATATTTTTTGGTTAAAATACATTATTTACGAAAGATTAGCAACTATGGTCAATTTAGGACTAATGCGTTTTTATTTGTTATTTAAGAAAAAATATTTGTAATTTGTCTGGCAGAATATTCCAGCAGCTGAGAGCTGTACGATGATCTCACCAAGCTCGCGCGTGTGTCGGCAGCAGAGTGCCGTGGTATCGCGCGCTGCCCGCTCCGCAGATAAAGGGTCAAACATCTCCGACCCCTCGCATCAAATCGTGACATATTTAATGCGATATAAGATAGTGTGTTTACGAAACATAACTACATTTCGGATATTAATTGTAAATTTCCGGCCTCTCTTCATAAGGACAATGTGGTGCATTTGTTGACCAGGAACCAGTAAAATAACAGCGAGTAGCGAGAAACTAAGGATTAAGGTTTATTGTTAGCAGGAATCGTTAAACCGAAGCGCCGTGACAGCTTTATGTTCGTTACTGCAACAGTTGGTGGAAGGAATCTAAAGTGGAGCACTGCCCCGCTTTACTACATGTCTGCTATTTACGTACTGTCATAGAGAACTTAGCACTGACGGGTACGTCCAGCAGTCAAACTACTTACGCATCTACATAGAATTTAATTGAGAACAAGTTTAATAATTTGCAATTGAAGTTCAGTATACTGAACTTCCAGCTATTAGCAGTCAAGGGTTTTCAGTATTAGCATTACAGAAAACCCTTAAGTAATAATCAAATATAAACTACAATAATTATAATAATATGTTGATGTCCCATCACATTTAGATTAAAATTGTTCAACGGGCCTCTGCGAGTTGGCTTTGGCTCCTCGTACGCCTTCCAAAGGTCCGGGATCCTGTGATCCCGTGAAAGGAAACGAACAAACATAATAATATTAGTCATAATTATTTATTATCCCGCTAATATGGTAGGATGATAGGTAGGTACCCACTCCTGCAAACAAACATGCAGTACTTTTTTTGTGAGGGGCAAATCATAAAATGACTGCTCCCGCCCAGGGCAGGACGGGAGGGAGTGTCAGACTCATCCTGACTAAAAACCCCCTTCTATTCCTTCTCCTGCTCTGGGCCGAGGTCGCGGTGCCTCATTGCGCTTACCTACCCCGCAACCCCGGCTGAAATATGTAGTACCTGAAGTGCATATTTAGTTGCATTATGTAACAAAAGCAGAGCTTTGCTATAAAATTTTTATTGCGTTTTTACTACGATATGGGACACGCGTATCATTATAGCGAGCTACTTTAGTTAAGGTACTACCGTCAGACCCATACCATACCTACCATATAAGGTCATAATATAGAAGAAGGCTCAGGCATTAGGCAGGTCACTCGCATAAGGATAATCGAATTAAAATGTCATCTGCAACAACTTTCTAGTGTACACTCTGTGTGTAGTACCTATAACCGTTGCAAGTTGCATTGCACTTACCTACCTCTATATCTGACAGGAACTATCGTCCGCCGGACAGAGCACGCAGGTGTCACTGAACGCTTATGGAACTTCTAACAATATCTTCCCGTACTGGTGGCGTGTGCTTTAATGACACGCATGCACTCCTGCTCAACTCGGCCGAAGCTCTGACTGACACCCTCAATCACAATTATAATTAGCAGCAGTACGGGTGCCTGCTGTGGAGCGTTCACTGTAACTTATTGTAGACACGGGCGCTCCATTACTCTTAGATCTGCTGATAGACCAATATAGGGATGTGAACTGAGGTGGCACGTGACGTAAGGTCGACGCAGTGTTGCAACACGGCGCGCGGCGCGGTGCAGTGTCGCCGGCAGGTCAGCGCGCGGTGAGGCGAGCTCGCGGACAGCCGGGTGCCGGCTCCTCGCGCGACAAGTGACGTCTTCCGGCCGACGCTCATTACCCGCGCGTGCGCATACCTTCGCGCCCACGTCCACGCTTGCAGGACTCACAGATTACGCACACCCTATTATTGTCTTACATAATTAATTGAACGCTTCCTTCGTAACGACAATGTCCTTCTTATTACTACACACTTGCTTCTCTCTAAAGACGTGTTAGACGGTCTTGGCGAAGATACGCAGTTAAAATAAAAGCCAAACCGCAAGAGCAGTTCACCGACTTACACTCCATGTTCCTTTTTGTTTACGAACGCTATACTGCATAATATAAGTATCGCAAAACTATATTACTTAGGTTCTGGTGAACATTTGACAATATTTTGGCAATTTTATTTAAGGTTGTATGTATGAGTCTCTCTAATGGTGTGGGTATGCTCCTTTAAAACACTCTAACTAATTTAACTACGCGTTAGACAACATTATACAAAGGTCCCACAAGTTGTACTTACATCTTCACTTCAAATTCGTTAATGACATTAACAAACACCAAGACTTGATGGGAAATACAGACATGTGTCTGTCCGCCATTTTGCAGTACTGATTTAAGTCACAAATTTAAACCTTAAGTCATAATAGGTTAGCCGGGGTTGCGGGTTAAGCGCAATGAGTCACCGCGGCCTCAGCCCAGAGCAGGAGAAGGAACGGGGGGTTTTTAGTCAGTAAGAGTCTGACACTCTCTCTCGCCTAACCCTGGGCGGGAGAAGTCATTTGATGATTTTCCCCTGACAAAAAAAAACTCATAATAGTTTGCGGGGCAAGCGCAAGGCAGGGAGGGTATTAAGTCAGTAACAGTCTGACACTCCCTCGCACCATACCCTAGATGAGAGAAATAATTATTTTGATGATTTGCCCTCCTCAAAAAAGGTAAATACTTATAAAAATATATGAATGAGCAGAATTGCGACGCTTAACCTACACCCAGATTTCTTCAGTTCGACGCTTCACAAGAAAACACTTGTCATTAACATTTAAGGATCAACAAACCTTTGACACAAAAAAAATCTAGATAGTAGTATATACAGGGATAGAATATGTCAGTTGCAGTGCTCGCGTGGATGTTGCGGTTCTTGTGAAACTGTGTACATACGTGCATGTAGTGTGTGTGATAAGACTAATCCTATAACATGAGCTCGTTTCCTTTCACTACTGGAAATATGCCTCAACTATTAACACAACACTTGAACAATAACATATTGATAGCACGGAGCTGCAGTGTTACGATGCTAAAAAAGATCTTCGTTGAAGATGTACCGCGAAACTAAGAGAATTACACCACTGAGTCCTTTCAACAAAGTTCTTTACCGTCGCGACCCAGGGTCGACTGGTAACACCATATAGCCCAGAGCTGCAACTTATGCAGTAAAGAAGTCGCAATACTTAGCGTGGAGCAGCAAGTCACATAGCATGGAGCGAGCGCTAGACTGAAATAAATTTTAGAACGAATTATAGCGGGACGGGACGGCATCGCATGGAACCGCAAATGACATAGCGTTGATTCGCTGCTTATACAGCTCAGGGTCGCTACTCATATAATTTGGAGTAATGTAACACAAGGCGTGGCGGCATGTCCTTTAGCGTGAAGTTCAGAAGGCAGGAGATGCGAATTATTTGGGAGAACTAGCAACATTGCAATATAGCATGCAACTTAACTATATAGTGAGGCGACAGATACAAATGGGGTCCCAACACTCATAGAATTTTATTGAAGTAAACCATTTGTCAACTTGACAATTGGTCCGATTTTCTGTCTATTAGCCAGTATTTTTTAAAATAGTTTAAAGCAGGAGAAATACAAACAAAATAATGCAAATGCAATTTTTTTATTCAGTCATATCATAATATAAATATTAAATTATGCACGTATTGGTATATCTTGACTAGACTCGTTCGTTTCAAACATATACATGATGACATATTCTCACTGAGTAAGGCTTAACACATGACCTATAACTTTGTAATATAAAAATATCATTATACAAATATACTAAAATGGGGACTATTGCACCACCTCTGGAATAGTTTTAGAAACAGAGTGGTACATAGTAACCTGGCTAGTAATAGCTCGGAGATGATAAAATAGCCCCCAACACAAGTTTCGGTAAAGTTATTTATTTCTGAGATAAACATTAGTGTTTGTTAACACAACTTCGTAGTAACACACTCATAGGTTAAAGTTTATCATCGTTCGATTCAAATCCAGAGTAATTACTTACAAGAATAATATTTCAAGTACAGACAACTCGTGTGTGAGGCTCGTTATAAAAATACATCAACTAATTCGATAAACAGGATAACTCTCACTGCTATTACAAAAATAATGTCCTTTATATGTGTGTACATGTTCATCTATTGAAACATTGATGTGGTGATCACAATCTTTATATAATTCGTCCAGTAACAGCACAATCTCTGCGTTACTGGCTGAGATTACAATACTTACAAAATAATCTTAAGCTAAGTAGTGACTAGATATTGTTGCTCGAGTATTTCTTTCGCTTTGTAATTAATTAATTAAATAAATAAACGCACGTGGCTACCAACACTACCATCCTCTTTCAACAATTCAAATCTACATCGTAGCAGTCTTGTCTTATTTGGAATGTTTCGGGAAAATGCATAAAAATTATGTTTAACTTCATTCAGTTTCCAGTCTATTATACACATATAACTGTGTTAGAAGGGTAATTTAAACGTGTTCTTGCAAATAAGCTATTCGTATAAACGCTTATTCAAACTTAGTTTAAGCAAGATGTTGACAAAGTAAAATATATTGATGATATGTGTCGCGTGCTCGGCGTAATTACACGCTGTATATGTAAAATGTCGTCCTATGATCAATGTTAAATAATAATAATAGTGTTTTATAATATCTACCTGTGATCGATCAGTCCTTCTATACTTCCCAAACTACTCAACACCATGTAAGGTAAATTATCGCATGTTTAAACAACAATAATTTTAAATAATATCCTGTTTTACCAATAATGGTGTAGCAATATTTGCGCGGCCTCTCCAAATGATCTTCCTGTTGTAATATTTTACTTGTTATATATGAGGAAATGTTAATCAGGAAGAATTAAATTAATTAATTGGTCTGACTCTGACATTTCCTGACTAGCCATGGGTAACATTTTCTCATTTTAAGCGAATCTGAAACTCTAAAGAACTTCTTTAAATAAGTCAATTGGAGATGGCGTTAGTACTGTTTTGACTATGTTAATAACTGCATTACTAGTGATGGGAGTCGAACGACCACAGGTGAAGAGCGAAGCTTACTAGTAATATCAATGACCACATCACGACTCACGACACCGATATATTGATAAGTAGTCGCCGCGACAGTAAGGCAATCAATGCTCACACCCACACACCTACTGCCTCCTACTCCTGTCCACACACTCACACTAGCTCGTGTCGCGGAAGCCCCGGGAACTCAACATCGCTTTTGGAAGAACAATATGTACGCCGGTACCTTCACCGGCTCATTAAGCATTTAATTGTATCATGCTGGCAACATTCACGCCTAAAACTTGCTGCTCTGGAATACATCATACCCATTGAAATTACTATAAGGTGGTAGTCGATAGTTCGGTCTAAAGTGTTCCCCAACTACCATTGACCAATGGGTATCACTTATCGAACACTTGACTCGATTGTTCAATCAATTGATTAGTGAAAAACTAATCAATAGGTTGATAAAAAGCTTCCGAGTGGTATCCTGGAGGTGTCTGACAATTTGGATCTTAGTTTATTATGCTTTGCAAAAATAAAATATTACACGTGTACAAATCGCAGTGTAGGCGAGCGCAAGTTTTTGGAGGGAATATTGTCAGCGTTTGGTAACCGTGTTATGGTAGGTATTATTGATCCACTACCTCTGGGCAGTATCATTTGGAACATATTTACTTATAGATAAGTGGAACGATGTCGATGTTTGTGCGTTAGTTCGCTGCACGGAGTGTCCGTGAGGGTGTCCGGCGTCAGGTCAGTCGGCTCGAGCTCAGAACGTCAGCACCGGCTCCTCGCGGTGGTCCAGGATATCTGTAACCATTTGCACCATTCATTACAAACTTAATAGAAAAAACAAATCCAATGTCTAGTATAAGTAGTAAAGTTATGTAGTACAGTGCATTGGTACCTTTGGCGATGGTCCACCAGGGCAGCGTGACGTAGGTGAGGTACGCGTTGAGCGGCGTGGACTGCTGGCGCTTGCCCTCCTTCCACAGGTGGAACGTCTGCGTGAACCCACGCATCGCCCACAGCGGGTTGTACGCACCGTCGTCCAGCTCTGTGGACATCAAGCGACACTCATAATTGATGCACTACGCAGTAATCGGCGCAGACAACTAAGCTGGTTTGATGAATTATGTTTGGTGGATGTAGCATTACAGGTATGTCATGGATAGTGATGCGATACATTTTGGAATGGTTCTCATGGTAAAGGCATGTTTGCATGGTATCACATGTGAGGCACGGCTGCTGATAGCATTCCACATCAATGTCACGTCTTGTCACCTGGACGGATATACGAGCGGGGGCGGGGGCGGGGAGCGCGCGCGGGGCCTAATGCAGTTACAACTCATTTCACAGATACGGATAATACATCAATGGTCTCTGGTGTAACCAAATAACACGACGTTTGTATTCAGATTAGCAATGTAGTAGTGGACAGTGGGCAGTGTCAGTGTGTACAAGTGCAGGCGCAGTACCGGAGAGGTGTCGGCGCGGCACGTCGCACCAGTAGTACACGGCCGTGCCATCCGGCGTCGTGCGGCGCGGCGGCAGCGCGGCGGCGGGTCGCGGGGCCGCCGGGGCCGGGGCCGGGGCCACCGGGCCCGACACCACGTGCAGGCACGCCGGCGTGGACACGTCGCAGTCGGCGCGCCCGCACACGGCCCGCATGGCGGCGGCGTCGCTCGGAGAGCTCGGGGAGCTCGCCGAGCTCGGCCGGGCCGGCTCGCTCGTGTCGCTCGCGTCGTGCGGGCGCGGCCTGCGGCGCGCGGCCGCGACACTGGCGCGCCGGCCCCGCCCCACCCCGCGCCCCCCGCGCCCTCTGCCTACACACAACACACCCGGATCACTGCTTCCGTTCACTTCACCCGGTCTAAGCACTAATCCTACGCTGTGCTAGTTGTTGCAACCGTTCTTGCGGTATATATCGTGCATTATGCACACTTTATACAAAACAGAACGGCCGCTGGCACACAAACTCGAGGCACTAATCATTCCCCAGAGCCCGGATGAGGTGAACACACAACATGCCCCCCACACGAGCACCCCGCGAGGACTACAGCGAGCTGGGCGCCGCCGCCTGCGTCACTACATGGGCCGCGGCCCCGCGGACATGCCACTAGCCCCCGCTACATCCCATGCCGTGACAATAAGCTGTGATGGCTCTGACAATAAGCGACATACAAAGCGACAGCATCACTACCAAGCCAGGAACAAGTCACGCCACATACATGCACAGAATATTAATATATTGTAACTCTACCCAATCTCACAATTCACAAGTTGGTACATTTGATGATTATAAGCATCGATAGTGATTATATTCAAATAGACAGTTGACCGAGAACTCGAGCCTCAATGTCACAATAATCTAAACAATCAAGTCCACTAGAAGACTCATTGGATTCAACAGCATCCCAATTGACAGTTATTTATATACATTAACAAAATACGACCGTTCGATAAAGTTGAGTTCAATATTCAAGAGGGACTAAATACCTAGGTATTTCATTAAGTTACAAATATTACTAATGGTGTATTATTTTTTAGACTACAAAACGAGGGAGTGTGGTAACACTACACTGTTTCTCCGTGTCTTCAGTATCTTTACGGTAGCAAATATCGTGCTTACAATATCAAGGGCTTTGCAAAGTAAAGCTCCAGAAGGAATGATCTAGCCTTGCTCAAAAGATTTAAGGAATTGCGTTGTGTAGCGTTAATATAGTGTATAGCGCTATCCTTCGATGAATATTTCAGTAATATATATGTGTGTAACGTACCGTCGCGCAGATCGCCGGCCTCCACCTCGGCGATGCCGTTGACGAGGGAGTCGAGTCCCTCGTTCTCGGAGCGGCTCTTGTCGCGCGAGTCCCGCGTGCGCCACCCGCCGCGCACGAAGTTGTTGATGTTGGCGCTCGGGTCGCTCAGTCGGCGCTGCAACACCACGCCATATGTCTCAACATCATATACTCTCACAAACGAAGGCAGTATGAAATAATACTGTATAAATTCTGACCTGGTGTCTGTACATGAACATCTCCTCGGGGTCGTCGTCCCAGTCGCTGTCCCACATGTCGGTGGCGGACAATCCGGGCTCAGAAGTAGGTGTATCGAGCCCGGCGGCTCGCGGCCTGGACACCGCCATCTCGGCGTGCCCCTTACCGCTGGGCCCCTTCATTCGTACGAACTCGCACCGCGCCGCCGCCTTCCCTCCCAGCAGGCCGAAAGACATGCGCTGCGCCACTTTCGTCGATAACGACGTTTGCTGGAAATTGATATTGTGCAAATGAATCCAATGTCAGTTTTAAGTTTTTGAAATCATTATAGATACACAGATATACAGTCTAATTACTATACGGTTCTAAAGTTTGGGCCATGCTTTGCACAAATGGCTCGACTGGAGTGATACCACGGCCTCATAGAAAACCGGCGTGAAATACCGCTTGAGTTGAGTTTTGCAGTGAGAGCGAAGTTACCGGACAACCAATCCTTTGCCTCACGATGGCCAATCCCTAAATAATCCCTAAACCCAAAAGGGCAGACTTGCGACTCTCCTGGTGCTGGCCGCGCCCTAGGACGGCGCCGGTTGTTTGCCACTCCACCCCATAAAAAATACACATTTAAATCTAAACACGATCAATGCCAACAAAACCCAGTTTAGCTATATCCTACAATCGAATTCACATAAATAAACTGAAGTTAGCTTACGCTTAGTTCAGTTTTAGCTCTATCTGTAGCCGCGTTTAGCCGTTGTCACTATTTTATAATTTATTGTTTTGATGTCACTATTATCATGAGTCAGTGGAAAAATATAAAAAAGAATTGCAAAAATTATGGAAAAAAGAATGATATGTAAGGTCGAACATATTTTATTATTTAATCAATAGTTAATAATAATATATGAGTTTAACAGTAAATATAAAATTGATTTAGATATCATATTTATTACCAACTAGCGGCCCGCCCCACTTCGCTGGGGTCCCACTATCTCGCTATCAAAGGGTCAGTTTTTCCCAATCTTCCCCTCTACTTTTCTAATATTTTCTTTGATAAAAACCTTCTCCTGACCATAACAAACACAACAAAAAAATAATTAGCAAAATTAGTCCAGGCGTTGTTGAGTTATGCGCTTACCAACACATTTTGCGATCCATTTTTATATGTAAGATTTCGCCTGTGAATATTTTCTAAACTTGTACCACTGAGAACGAATGACAGACGTTCTGTTATTACTTCAAAAAATAATTAATCCGCTGTTGGTCGCAGGATTCGCTAATGCACGATATTGTAACAAAACGTGATAGCGGCATTTTAATTCATCAAACCCCAAGCGAACGCCGGTGTTTGCGCACCTATTGTTCTTCTGTTGTGTCTCGAATTACCACGATTGAAAGGTTATTATTCTGTCCCATTACAAACTTAGTTTTGGTAAACATTATTAGTGTTGGTGAAATGAGTTTGATGTAAACTCAGATTTAAAATAGGTTCGTAAACTAGATAACGGTGACCTCAGTTGAGTTAAACTTAAGTAATTATTGGATTGGCCTTTAATATTTATTTGGAGGTACTAAATAGCCGATGTTTTATCGCCAGGTAGAACTTACATCCATAACTTTTCATTCCCCAGTTACACTAACTGCATTCACTTTTCATAAAAAAGGAAAATTGTGCGTACAGTCGTCCAACACATATGAAAATTGTGCTATTCATTGGAGCATAACAATGGGCTTTGTCGAGAAGCAGTGCAGGCGTGTTGTGGGAACTTCATTGTTTATTTTTAAACGCAGACAGCGAGCGAACGCCTGCACAGCGTGTGTTGTGTAAACACGGGGCACGCGCCGCGCTCCCGTGGGTGCCGCGTCGTGCTCCGCGCTTCGTGCTAGTGCCAGTCTGCGCGTTAACCCAGGTTGTGGTCAGGCCAAGTTTCATTTGGATTTTACTTTACTCATTTTGTAGTAAACTGTGACACTGGCTTTATAAAATGATTTTACTAATATTTCAAATAGATGATTTTAACATCTCTCGATCAATCAAATTACTCAAAGTATTAAAGCCATTATAGGGGAGTCAAAGGTCAGCTAAAGAATTAGGATACCCGCAGCTGTATGTGGGTGTGCCTGTGAGGACACCGCGCTGAGTGTTAGGCAGCAAGTCACATAGTTCCCTTCGTCCTCGGTTGTAAAAGGACTCCATCAAAATAAAAACACTAAAATACACAATTTAAAATATAATTAGAGGCTAGAGCACAGTTGACGACATCAAGTGTCCCACAATGGCAAACCGGTCGAGAGACTGAATCACCTCGGTGGGCGGAGGCCGCGCCACCAGCGGGTTACACCAGTGCGCAGTCATACTAGTCTATTAAAAGACACGCGACGCCACAAAAACATTCCTCCGCCAGATTTCATCTTAAAACCAATTCTGGTGACTTACTATAATAACTTGGGCGTACTGAGATGGACGTCTCTAATATTCATATTAAAATCAGTTTCCATACCAGGAAATGTTGGCGACGGACTCTGGTACTCCGGACTTTGCCCTTTAGTACAGTCAGCAAAAGGTACATAATGTAATGCGTGAATCACACTGGCCTACACAGTGCAGACGTTTGACAGCGAACCCTCAGTGAAAGACGGTCGGTTGTCGACCCGGCGCAGCCCCGCACCCGCACCTGCTGCCGACTTACCATTGTTCCCGCTCGACTACTCACGACCATGATTCATCACAAAAGTACAGCGTTCCAAGGAAGCCATTAATACACTGTAATTCCAATATTACCCCCGTCTATTTATAAAAATCGATAGCAAAAACGATTTACCTATGTAAACGAGTCGCAATGAATAATATAGTAACAGAAACCAGTTTCCGGCGGCTATTAGGTACTTCAGGGTCCTCTACATAATGATAGTTGTATTTTTTCCCACAGCAAGTAGTTATTAATGTCGGCGCGTTATACTAAGTGTCGCGGTACCTGTACTACATAACTACTTAAAGCTACTTAACCGGACTACCGATTACTTCAACGTAAGTGCCATATAACTAAAGTGGAGTGCCACGAACACTACAATAGGTGGTTGTAATTTTATATATTATAATCGGCAATTTGACCAATTGTATGGAGCGTGTCGTTTGCAGTTAAGACAGTAGCACAGTAGGGACTGTTCAATGACAAGTAAGTGCAGTGACACGGCGGTGGCATAAGTTATCATAACTAATTCCAGCCAGCAGATTTAAGTGGTGAGGGTAGGTAGCACGACGTCACATCGCCAAGTTATATTTTCTTATTTAATTACTTTTATCACTAGTAGACATTAAACTTGGATTGCATCTTATTGTTTTATATGAACTATGAAGACGATATGATTGGTATAGGCAGTTAGGAAGCTGTAAACAGGGACAGGAATGAGTGTGAGGATGAGATCACGCGACGGGTGCACTGATGTCAGCATCCACCGCGCCGGGAGTCAGCCTCGAGGGGTGGTGGCGCCACATGCGGCCAGTACGTCATACGTACGTTTTGTTCATTTATACATGGATAAAATTAGAACTAAACTGCTCAAAAATATTTTTAATTAGACAGGAATAAAATAATATTCAGATAAAAATACTAGTGCAAAAAGTCAGTCGCAACCTCAGGATTAATTCCCTTCTTTCGAGTTGAAGTTACAGCAATGTCACACAAGCCAGTGGGTGGCAGGGAGGCAGCGTGACGTCACGACTACAGCCTGCCAGCCTGTTTGATCAGCACAGACGCTGATCAATTAGTCTGCTATTATTTAGGCCTTGTTTATTTAATGGCACTGTCAACTTCAATGACGGACGGTCTTAATTGATTCTATATTTGTATACTTAGATACACTGACTGACAAGTTTTATAAATATCGCATTGTAAAATTGCCATATATCTTAATACTGCAACAAATGTTTTATTCAATTTTTTACACATTATTTTGTCGTCCCTTTTTAATTTCAATTCAGCATTTTCATAAAGTTGCAACGTTTTGTTTATATTGACTTGATAATTATTTGAGTTTTTACCGCCAAATAATTTTGTCGTCTGTTTACGAAATGTTATCACGTGTGACTGTTTGTGAAGGAATATTGTTAATCTAATATTGCACCTAATATGCCACCCTGAGGTCCACCAAAGTAATTAGTTCTATGCTCCAAGTCTGTTGTAATTATGATTATGTTACATAATTGTAGTAAAAGGCAATAATCTATTACTCAAATATGACTTAAGCCCTAGTTAGGCTATAGCGACACGTAATGTAACACCTATACGTTGTTTAAATAATAATAAAAAGTTAACAATATCAAACGCTTCTCTTGAATCTACGAGAACCGTCGCTGTCTATAAAAGGTACCGTAGGTAATGTCTTTAAATAAATTTTTATTTATGTTATTATGTTAACGTTCTACTTCACCCATTGAAGTAGATAAAGACAATGGAACATTAAATTGTACGATCAAAACATGGTTTTAAATTTCTGATTTTTTCATGTATTATTGTATATATCTAAACTGTGTTTCGTTTAGTGGGACGTGTGACGTGAGCAATGAACAGCTACCGGTGATGCCAAGTTCGTCGCGCACGGACAGTATGGCCACCCATCCGCTCCTTAACGACTGTAACGGTCTTTATTGTACACACATTGCAGCCGACGCGACGCCCGCAATCCGAAAAATTACACTAAGCCCTACGTTTGGTGGATTTTGATCATTCATTATACTTTATCTGTAGTGAATTTGATAATACATTCGTGTCACAAGTTCCCAAATATGGCACGTATGATAAGTGATAATAGGGGAGTGCTATATGAGATGTGTTCTGAGGCAGCGATAAGGGTCCAAGGCCGGCGCCTCGAGACGTCGCGGCTGGCGCGCCGGAGGCGGAGGCGGTTACGCCCCATAATCCCGTCTGGCGGCTCGTAAACCCAGCCCCGTAACGCGGATATTACACAAACTAAGTGCTATAACGAACTAACATACACACATAATCAATCACATGCAGCAAACACAAAAATTCATGTTATCTTGGGAACTTCCGAATTCGTTTACCTACCTCGGTATCCAAATGCCTATTTATATTAATAACAGCGGTAATCGGATAATGTAATCCGTAATTAAACGATAACAAACGATTTATACAAACTAAGCCGATGCTAAACAACTAAGAGATTCGACAGTCCAGACTGTTCCATTACATAAAAGATATTACTTTACGCAGATTTTTATCTGACGAAATTTTTAAGAGGTCAAAATATATATGCGCATGACGCATGTTAGCAGTCAAATATGGAGAATAAATGACAACATTTCCGTGTAGCAAGAATATCGTAAAACTGCGTGACCTTCGCTTACTCATTACTCATTCCAGCCAACTACACATAATATCCTAGGTTTCCACGACTCGTAAAACTTAGGCTTGCCTCGATGCGACTCAACAGGTACTTGAACTCGGGACTGAGCCAACATCGTCGGATCCCTCATCACTCCGTTTATCTATCTACAATGACCTAGAACATTCCGAACGCTGCGAATACTGTGATTGGTGGTTGGTTAAACACAATGTACTTCTCTGCGCTTGCGCTTACACATCTAATTAATTATACACGTCGTCAGTTGTGGGATCAACGCCACGCCTGTCTTCCTGTACCCGGGTACCGTATCATCGAAGACACAAAAGTACTTTCTCTAAATACCGCCAACTGCCTTATTTATCTGCCAGCTAGTTACATTATCGTATAATTAAAATTAGAACACCAATTGTTTTATTGCGGACACAACTTCACGCGTGCATTTTCGCTCAACATTGTAAAATGAGGCATGGACCACGTGTGTGACAACGTTTTTTGACTGGATCACTTCGAGCAGGTGTTGCTTCGTTGATATTATCTCAGATTCAGTAGAACCAATAATGTATTTCGATAAGGCGAATACATCACTTTTCCATTACGCAATAAGGCAGTTTATTGACGTAAAGGATTCGTCCGAAGGTCACCGGCAGCGGGCACAGCCGACCGTGTCCACTTGGTAGGCTTCCTCCCATCATTGGGTACACGAGCTGATCACTATCGAAAAATATAATTAATTTGATATTAACAGGAAACGCGCTCGTGCAAACCAGTCAATTAATCGTGTAATATGTACTTAAATGGTAATTATTAATTATATTTCATGTTGATGGCTCTGTAGCAGGCTGCTGCAGCAGTGCCAATAATATAATGACGATAATGAAGTTTCCAGCAAAAAAAAAAACATTATTTGATCAGAAGATAATAGAAGAATTATAATGTTACATGGCATGTGACAAGTGTGCTTTGTGGGCGTTGCATTAAAACATATTTTCGTAGCACATATCCGCTTCGCACATATCAGAGTACAAAATGATATTACTCAACAAGCTTCAAAACAAACTGCGTCACAAATTAATTAAAACTGGTCACCGAACCAACGTCAGCCTTCACGACAACATATAATTAATGTAAGTTATATATGTACGGTATAAGATATAGCAATTCAAAAAAATATATAAAGCAAACTTGACGAGAGCCTGGCCAGCCGGCAGAGTCATGATAACATGCATGAATGACGTCACCAGCATCCAATCTCCGATTATTCCAAGGCACCAGATAACAGCTATCAACCTAGTCTCATATCACTGCGAAATATTTGCAGATATTTATGTTTTTTCCAATGAGTAGCAATTTTTGTAGTCGCTTCATAGAGCGACTTTACGACAAGAAACCTCAATAGAAAAACAAAGTATAAAAACGATGCATACCGACATTATAGACAATTAAGATTCTTGTGTCGTGTCGACATCGATATGAGTGGGGGCACGCATCTCGTTATCAATAAAAAAACATCTCCGATGTCTACAATACCGGTATACATGTAGGTACTGGGACTGTGACTGTGCCAGCCATCGTCCATACATTCCTGCCTTATCAGTATATGTCTGGTAAACGGGAAATCTCGACTCAATAATACAGGAAATTAATACGTTATGTTAATTAACAATTTAAATCGTATTAATGTATAATTATGTATCAGTTTCAAAAAAATACATTCTTAAATTTATGCAAATGAAAATCTCGGTTTGTTCCGTAGAAGTTTCGAGAAAACAAACACCTACGTGTATTGACTCGTGCAATTTATTCCATATAGAAGAATCTGAGTGAAAATTAAATCAGCTGATCGGGGTAATTATGTACTTATAGCAAACTATTTATCACAAACCCTACGAATAGCAAATGCACTCAGTACATAAGTGATGCTTACTATACCGGCATTCCTCACAAGTACATACGGACGTACATTCGCTCAGGTTTAATTAATCATGATAGCCAACGACTTCATAACTAGCACTCGCTAAATCCATTGATATAATATCAATGACAATGGTTGCTACCTTTGTATTACGTTCATAAACTTTATCTAGTACATCAAGCCCAATAAGTGCACTAAGGGTTCAGCACCCTACACGTAGCTGTGTGAACGCTGTAGCTCGCCGGTATAGCGTACAGCTAGTTGCATAGTTGATACGTTAATAAATATATCATACTTTTTATACAGTACAAGTTTAGGCCATTACTTGTGTTTAAGGATAGCGTGTCAAGTACCCAACGCCACTTTATTCCTCTCGTGTGAATTTACAATATTGTATTGTAAGGAACGGTCAATACATTGTTAACAGACGATAATTTTCTAACAATTATTTCTTAATAAGCTGTGGTGCATTTTAGTAACTAAATACATTATGTGTTCTCAATGTTTTCCGCAACTCCAAGCTCCAGGCCAAGTGCTTTTAAAATATGGAACGTAGTATAATAATGAAGTAATTAAGTCAAGTCAAGCCGTTGAACTTTTGAAATGTCAGGAGCACAAGTTGGTAGTTGGTAGCTTCATTAGTATTGACGTGGCATGAGCCGGGAACGGGGGCAGGCCGGCGTCGGACCGGGAGCCGCACTAAATAACCCGTATCCGGCAATTAACGGCCGTGTCACTTGTTGCTGCGGTCGCGGCCGGTTCCTTGCTCACCGTACACTTCAATCAAAGTATTGGCTATATTACAGTAGTGGCCAGGTTACAGTACACACGCTGACTCTAGACAAATGTCATACGGGATAACGTTTACAACGACTGTTGTTCTCAACTTATCCACTTACTTATTATAGTTGTTTGGTTTCGATATCTTATCAATTTGACTGTAAATTTAATATGTATTTACGATCACTTTAAAATGACAGGGACCAATCGATTATATTGTAAAAATGATAAAAACGATCGATATATTTAGATATGGCAATAACATAAGTTGTCAAATATTTCAAGTATCACGATAGCCAAGCTAGATAGTGGTATGATTCGGACTTACTCTGGAGTCGTAGACCCTGGTGAGTATGTCGTAGCGGATGGAGCCGAGGAATATGACGGCCTGGGGCGCGCAGCCGCGGCCTCGCGCCACCAGCTCCACGCACACCATCTCCCCGTCACGCACCACTATGTCGCAGAACACCTGCCACACAACACATAAACATTCAGGAACTCAGCAGTTCATATAATTAAATCAATTTGTTAAACGAATACGGAAGTATTTAAAATATGTAATTTAGGGAAATATAAGATCTAAAACAATGTACCTATAAGGAAACATTGTAAACGAATTAATTATTTTGACCATTGAGGAAGGAAGAATTTCAGAGAATCGTAGTTGAGTCGTTGCCTTAATTAAATTGTTTGGGCGCCCGGTGTGATTATGTAAGTACACGTTGCACGGCCTACTTCCACTGCCGTAATACTTGTACTTACACAGAAAGAATAAACGTATGAGTGGATCAGGTAGTACTCCACGCTACTGACTATAATATTATAATAAAAGAAAAAAAGGAACACAATTTTGTTCACACTGTGACGTATCATATCATCTTCTTAAATCATAATGATAAATCGTCCACTACTATCTTGACTAACTTTACCTTAACATTGTATAATATTTCTATGGTTTTTCACACAGGGTTTTCCCCAAACCTCGAAGCTAAATATGAAAATGCATAGCATTCAATATACAGATTCTGTCGGAGAAATCTCAAATGTTTCAGCTGTAACATGAAGACAGCGCGGCGTTCGTTCACAGCTGACTTACTAAGTATTACGCAATATACCAGTACCTATATAGTACTACCGTTCACTGCAAACGCTATAGAAACGTAATAAATTAGCTAAATGAGATGTCGCTCAGTGAAGCCATTTTGTTTAAATACGCTAATTAGTTTCCATCTTGGACAACTACATTGCCTTAGAGTCTTGATATAAAACTATAAGCTATCTATAGCCGGCATGATGTCATCGTTTATAGAGGAGATGTTTGTGAATCATTATTGGTCATAAAATGTATTTGCAATCATGTGTTGTGCTACAAATGATATTTGCATATATAATGGTACTGTGGGACCACTGAACGACCATAACATAACATCTAGACAATAAGTAACAAAAGGTATTTTTGCATTTTCACTTGCTACTCGGAAACATATTACGTAAGTGTCGTTAGCTTTGATTCAAGCAATGTATATATTATTAGTCAGCACACCGCAACCAAGTGTCAAAGTTTAATAATAAATAAAGAAATATTCAACAAACAGGTTGTGTCACCTTGGTGTGCGGTGTGCACCTTCAGGTTGTTGGAATTTTAAACAATATAACAATAGAGGAGTCGTTAACTACAGATACTGTTGTTTTCATCTCGGCTTAGCGCACGAATGGCCACGATAGTGACACGATTAACTGATAACAACGAAGGTAAATCCAAGTAAACTCGCTTCAGCCGTAGCGACTAGGTAAGTACATTGTAACTGAGATATTTTATTGGCACTTGAGACGACGTTAACACGAAACTTTTTAATTAAACAGTTGAACAGAACTGCAGCTACAGGCATGCGATGGAGTGTGACCATTTCAGTCTGTCGCTGAGAGCTGTGTACACAGCCGCCACAGTCGCAACTCTGCAGGCGACTCAGTAAGCAACTGGCAGTGACAAAGCAACTAAATTGGTTAATCACTTGTTGTGTACAGAAATGATGAACCAATTTTACAGTCGCGCGATTTAATTATTTATAATATTATTAAACACATGTATAGTTAGGTATGCTTATTTAAATGTTGGTCAAGAACCAACGATACACACAATGTTTTGTTGAAACTTCATGTATTGACTAATCACTGAAATATTATATTGTTTTAGCGATATAAAGGTACAATTATTATACATGCTGAAATCTAGAATACGAATCATATAAACTTTTTATTACCTAACTAATGACAGCTGTTTTACTAGATTAAATTAACTAACTACGTTCATTTCCAACTTTATCATATTTCCAGTAATGAGTCATTTGATCCCATTAGTCATATCGAAGTTATTTGTGTGGTCGCTTCGCATTCCTTGTTATTAATATAATTACACTGTATCAATATAGTCTGCTTCCAAACTTGTCATCATTAAATCAAAACACTATTCATACAATTTGGTTACTCAACTTCAATACAGGAGGTCGCGGGGTAAATCAACAAGCGTCGCTCGCGGCTATCAATGAGCTGCATGCACGTCATCGCATTCGCATGGCTATAACACGAGCGATAAAACTCAACGAGAAAACCAAAAATACATATACCAATTTGTAAATACTCCAACACCTAGTGTTACAGCAGGAACAGAATTGGCAATACGATTCAAAGTCTTGTAGATAAACCAATAGAGATGAATGCAGTAGAAATAGTATAGTAGCAAATGTATGCTGAAACTGTATAGCAGTTTGTGCAAAATAGGTTAATCTATTAAAGGCAGATAGCACGGTCGAATGCTAGCAATGTATTTACAAAGCTAGGATCTGCATCAACTGTGAGCTAGTCTGTTCATTGTACGGCAGATGTATGCGCTCTGTGTGCACTCATGTCGCGATTGTTGGGCTATTTGACCAATTGGCAATTTGGCATACACTTTAGGATACTATGGCCTTCCAATTTACTGTACAAATAAAAGGATCGTCGTTTCTTTTCAGCATCTAAATAAAAAATATAGCAAAAAAAGGTTAAGAGAAGAAGTCCGTGATATATTCTTTGCGTTACTATCTCAGAATACAGAATAAACCAGAAGGCGTCATCGGGCTTTAAACTGAAGCAACTAAAACCACTCTTAACTAGACTAGTATGAAATTTCTACGATCAGTCAATTTTGGCACGTGGCATGTCGTGACGTATTTACGAGTATCAATTTTAAATTCATTATGCCGTCTTGTGCTATTCCTACGAGTAAAAATGCGGCTGGAATTACGAAAAAAGTGGATAAGATTACATTTCATCTGCAAACATCGACTGCAATAGTATATTTAATTAATTATTGAATTATTTTTATCGATTTATTTTTCTATGAAAATGATGCGGGCATTTTGTGAGTGTTGTCATTTTTGGTAAAAATTTTACTTACTTATTTATTTGTTGTGGGTTATATTTTTGTCCATTATGAACCCTATGTCATATTAGTTTCCCTGCCGACTAAAAAATAAAAATCATACAAAGGGCACGGTTAGATTAATTTTGGAAACCATCTAGCCAGAGCATAGTTTGCTCAATTCACTTTGAAGAAGATATTTATGACAAAGGTGGTTTGAAAACAGCATTTCCTACTTAGATATATCTATACTAATTATAATGCTGAAGATTTTGTTTGTTTGTTTGCTTGAATGCGCTAATCTCAGGAACTGAGTAAAGTAAGTAGACTTCTAATCTTTAGTTTCAAATCTAAAGACAATTCATATTATAAAAACTAAACCAGCAAAAGGGAACGCAATAAAACCTTTGTACTTATTGAAGCTTTGTTTTATTTGTTGTGTTTAGTAGGTGTAACTAAAATTAACACAGTCTGGAATCGTGAAATGTGTGAACAGCTAGTCTGTTGCATTTATCGTAAGTTTACCTATTTTGTTAGGTTTACCCATATCTTACCCTCCCGTTGTAAAATTACCCCAAACCAAGGGAATTGTTCCACTGTCGGCAACACTACGCGGGTGGGAAGTGCGGCTGGCGGGGGGATTGACGTATTGTTTTTGGACACATTTGACAACATGTAATTATGAGTGAACGCGGATTCTGGTTTGTTCTGTATTCTGAGGTTACTATATGTAGGAATATGATGTTTAGATGTTTGTATTACATAGGAGCAACTCTGCAGGTCGCGGGACTAGTCGTGAGCATGTAACACTACACCACACATCACACACTGCACACGTACAAGCACCGAGCACCGGTCTATCTAGCCACCTGCGCCGCCCGGCCAAGGACTGCGCCTGCGCACACCGTTAACTCGTTATATTTATAATTTTAATTTACATGATAATACTGATAATCGCATGAGATGGTATGAAAGAAGAAGGAAAGAAGAAAAGGGCCTCGAGGAAGGCTCATACAACATTTTGTATTAAATTATGTACTGAACTTTCTATTTAACAAGAGTATGATTGCGTGTTTCGGTTGGTCGTCTCCTTCGCGTGCTCGCCGACGTAAGGCACCTAATGATGGTAATCTCTCATCTACGACCAAATAACACGTTTCGGTAAGATAATTGAGTAAGTATCTTATTACACTTAAAACGATTGTGTCAACGCAAGGCAAGTTGTATTGTAGAGAACAATAATGAAACGTTGTTATATTGATGTATTTTGTTCGCCAGCAAGCGCAGCCGGAAAGATATCGACTACAAAGAAAGTGGTCAGTGGCACATTTTTCCGTAATCCGTATACTTAACGTAACATGTTGAGTGCAGACGCACTGCTTGGGGGCTTGTGTACTTGGCAAACAAAGAAGTGGCTACGTAGTGCTTCATTAGCATGCAAGTCATGCTAGAGAGGGCACGGCGTAACACCTCGGGCATAAGGCCAGGGATACACCAGCCTCGTCGAGCTCGTAGGTGACGCTACTCAGGGCTCCGCTCCCAGCATAAGACAAAACGTGACGTGATCGATAACCGGGTCACGCAGTGCACTAGCCCGATTTAATTAGCTATCGGTTCGCTCGCTCTCTTCCGAGCACCGCGCTCGTATACTGTTGCACAGATTCACCAGATCGATACCTTACAAACAATACACCTATAAACGCTTATGTTGCGCTTTGCTTGTTCTATTTTCGTTACAAAACTAACACGTGTTTCATGTCAAAAATGCCAATCATAGCACGTTGTATTACTGTGAACAAAACGATTTAGTTCCGATTGTCCGTAGACAAATAGACAAACTGTAGCTACAACACATAGTCAACAGAAGTGTATTCTCTGTAAATAAATGTTGCCAACTATAATCTGGGAATTGTTGGCACGCTGCATCTGAATGTACCTACAATTCTATGTTATCATAAATCGTGTAGGGATTTCGCCAAGTTGTATGCGGTGAGTGTGATGACGTCACCGAAAGTTTGGTATGATTCACCGGCGCTTGCAGATGATTAATACGATCTTTGTACAGAAGCCACGCATTAGTGACGTAATGACGTGCTCTTCTGTGAATACATGAATCAATGTTATTGTTTTTAATTCGTATATTCACTCCGTCAACAAACTTAGTGATCTAATCCGTCAGATATTTCGCTTTTATAATCAGTTCATCCTCATAACACACATACATGCGACATCAATAATAAATCGATGCGTTTTTCACATTTGTTCAGCCAAAATATTCCTTGGTTCTTACTTAGCTGAAGAACAATGCTTCCAATATAATTCTAATTTAAAATGTAGGCCTCTTCTAGCACGATGGGCTGACGTAAGCGCTCTAGCCAAAATCTGATATGGACAAAACACAATTAGGCCACCTGGAGCCTTTCCAAGTGACAAGCATCCCGGCAAGCGCAGCTAGCACGGATACTGGTAGAATACAATATGACAGATATTTTAAGTTTGTTGGGTTTTATCAGATACTCGTATACAACAAGTTTTGATATTGAGATCTCATGACCAAATAGAGAAACTACATCAATTTAGAGACCGTTCAAAGTCCAAAGTACCATTATTCTCTAATTTTCAGGGGCAAACTTATAAAATATAAAGTCCCGGGAAGGTTGAGAATATATCTGAGAAATAGATACAATTTTTCACAAAGGACATTTGGGCTTGATATGGATTTTCGCAAAGTAACCGCCAGTGTCGTTTTACGTTGCATATTGCAAAATTTTTGTTGTTCCTTAGTTGTTGTTGTAGCGTTGCTTGCTATCAGTGTGCGTGTTTGTTAGAACAGACAAGACCTTTAGTTTAGCCTTTCATTGTATAATGGCGGTGTGGGTGCTGCAAGTAGGGCAGCGTGGCGCGACAACTCAATAAAACGATCTGACCTATTCACTGCGCAAACTATTTCACTAATCGGGAAATGTAGTCAGCAGAAGTCATTACCACTGAATTACTGTAATCCTAGCTAATGCTTAATTCCCTAAGATCTAAGAAAAGAAAATAGGTCAAATATCTGTGCACATACATACATAACAGTAGTTTGGTGGTTGCTCAGTGCTGATACCAAGCACATAAGGTGGAGCAGACGTTGCTACGGGACACGTATAGGGTTCATTCTCTTATTCCCACCATCTAGATTATCTACACAACGTTGAATGTTCAGCTGTACAGTTGATAAATGATAACGAAAGTAAGATATAGTAATTGAGGCTGGATATTGGAGATTACAAGATATAGTATAACGTGCATTTATTGCTAACGTGTGCTTTGTGCTTCATTTATAAAACACGTCAACGGTTATCTAGTTACAATGTGAGGTGAACCAAAGCTCTTATCGTTCATATTGTAGTGATTCCTTTCTAAAAATAGCTTAGCGTTGGTAACGTGTAGTCCTGTTGTCGAGTGGTTCTTTTGTACATTTTCTAACTACATCGCGACAACTTTTCTAAGCCAACAATTTGTCTTACCCATTTCGCAAATAGTATTTTACTTATAACGAGTTAATAATTGATACAAATACAATACAATTCGTTTGTATCTATGAGCTAAACTACTGTTTAGCTCATAGATACATTTATAAACGAATTAATGCTTACTAAATGATTAGACGCGACTGAACTCGGTAACTTATGAAATTGAAGTGCCTTGAAGGATTTATTTTTATCTTGTACGAGTAATATGTATCTAGTAAATTGTTCGACACGATATCGGAGTTGGCAGCAGCGTTGCTCCGCATATCGGTCATCGAGCAATGAAAACAAACAAACCGAACGAGAGTTGTCGTGCGCAAGCGCAAGGTCGCGCCCACCCTCGCGGAGACGACACGGCTAACCCAACAACGCTGTGCACGCTGGCATTCGTAGGAGTTACTGATTCTGTTTGCTATACTTATCTCAATTATATATAAACTTATTTATAATACATCGTTATAATGCTATGTAAGCAAATATGTGTAAAACTATTTAGGTTTTCCTGTTATCCTTTTAGTAATTAAATTGCTAAAATATTTATTTCAATTATAATTTATTAGTAGGTATCATTTACTGACACTTCTTCTAAATGTCGTTTGTTTTTGTTTTCAACTTTTCTGCAGCTTTAGTTCGTTTTTACCATAATTAATAAATGGAATGCAAATTAACATGTCGAGGTCACCACTTGCAAGCAATGGAACAATCGGCTTGTTTCATTACAGGGACAATCATTTCTACTGAAACAATACTTCCTTTTCAATATTGCAATGATTGTTACGCTTTGTCTGTAGTGTCGTGACTTCTGAAAGCATGACGAGTGAATACCCAATAAAGATAACAACTCGCTTATAATTCAGGAAATAAGAGTGCGTGCTATATGGTATACATAAAGCCACGTTCGAGACAAAACTCATTGAATAGTGCTGAAGAATCGTCCTCGGCGTAAGGACAAAAAAATAAATAAACCTAAAAATATGACCATTGGCAACCAAAAACTTGATGGTAGTTTCGAGAAATGAAATCTTTCTTTACTTAAGCGACGTGACAAGAAATCCTTGCGGGTTTTACAATATGCATCACAAACGAACCAGTTCTAGTTATAAGATCTCTTAGGAATGTTTTGTAAAGGCAGTCTTAAATTTAATGTTCAGTTGTCTGTCTGTTGTCAATGTCCCTAGGACGCACCGGACTTCATTGTTGACCTACTATAGACACCGGAAGAATAGTGCCGTCAAAAAAAAATATGAAGGCACCGGGGGGTTGGTACAAACATCAACAACTCGATCATCGTCTTCACAGTCCATCGTAGGGCGTAGGATTTTATAATCAGACCGAATAAATTACAAAAATAACGGACGTCGGCGATCCGTCTTCTACGACAGTCACAGCGCTCGCTCTACACCATAATGCGCACGCAGAACTGCCAGTTTGACGTTCCGCCAGAGTACGATTTATGGTACCCTCGTCCGATGAATTGTGATAAAACCTCCTTCAAAATTCAATTATAATAATCGTCGCTCCGACACGGCCAGACTGACATTCGCTCGTCCTCGAGCGATCTTAGTTCTGTGGTAGTTCTGGAACAGAAGAAAGATTCCACGTGTATAGCACGCTGCTCGTTCATCCTGACTAACATGCGCTTTCTCAACATCACCTGGTTACTGCACTCAACATCGATGTAACATTATCATCATTTTCAGTTGTACCTACTTCCAAAACAATTTTTCCCAAACCACACTGATACGGCCTCAGCGATTGGTGTGCATGGACCGGATGTATGCGCCTCTACCACCAGCCAACATGCTCCGGCAAGACCACATCATCCCTTCGACCAGCTCACCAGATCACCTGCCTGGGTCAGACTAGTGCGTCCCTCCGACTAGACACCACGTGACATAGACCGGACGTCACTATCCTCCCCAACGATAAGCTACGCCAACTCACAACTATATTCACAGACATTCACGTTACCCAGATGAAACTAGGTACAACCATCAAATCACAAATCTCTAATTCGGGAACTATCTCGCTCGTTATAACTACAGCCGTTGGTTCAATCATATGAACACGCAGATAATAAGGAAGATGATCCGTTATCACAAAGAAAAGGAACTCTCTCACCCGTAGATGTCTCCAACAAGCCTTTGGAAGCTCTATAGCCACAAGCGTTCACTTCTTTAAATGTTGCACCGCTGGTCTTCTTCTCGAAACGTGACATGAAAAACAGATGACTGCGTGCCCCCTCTTTATCCGCGTCAGTTACAGGTCATACTTTCGGAATATCAGATGGTTTCCCATCAAATCCCACTTCTGATGAAGGCACCGGGGGGTTGGTACAAACATCAACAACTCGATCATCGTCTTCACAGTCCATCGTAGGGCGTAGGATTTTATAATCAGACCGAATAAATTACAAAAATAACGGACGTCGGCGATCCGTCTCAGATGACAGTCACAGCGCTCGCTCTCCACCATAATGCGCACGCAGAACTGCCAGTTTGACGTTCCGCCAGAGTACGATTTATGGTACCCTCGTCCGATGAATTGTGATAAAACCTCCTTCAAAATTCAATTATAATAATCGTCGCTCCGACAAATATATTGGATATGTGCTACAGAGTACGTGTTAGATAAACACAGTAACAGAAGCTTTTAGACACACTCGCACAATAAAATTCATAAGCCTATTGATTGTTTTTTTATCGGCACTAATAAATTAGTACATTTTCTAGCCTGTGCAGAAAACCGGCTTAGTATCGCCTGCCTGAGTGCGTGCCCGATATGATAACATAATAATTCTAATTGTTAAGCGTACTTATAAACTATATCAATCGCTTTCAATCTTTATTGAGATTGGAAGATTATAACTTAATTAATTGTTAGGTACTATTTATCAAAAGTGACACGATAATTTAATTTTGCGAATAACGACACTCGCTTGTTTTTCTTTTTCAGTCAGCAGACGTCACTTGTTGAATGGCTTGGTGATATTCATAATATTGATATTGTTACTTGATTTCTGTGTGTAGTACATTGGTACACAACTACATAGACAGAATTGCCAAAAGCGTGGGGGGTTTACATAGGTATATCTTCTAGAAACAGTCGAAGATCTTGGATCAGGATCGTGCTACACTAAATGAATGAAAGCTCCAGGAAGTAGTGGTAACGTAATGTACACTGACCTCATCAAAGTTGTCCACCATAAAGCAGATGTGGGGGTATGTCATCTCCTCGCCCTCGCCCTTGGTGTCCATCTTGCGGCGGCTCGGCGACGCGTACACCTGCACCCCAAACAAAGCCAGTTACATTACAACCAACGCACCCACATAGTGTTGCATACATTTACATTCGAATATTCACGAACATTGCGTGGCCTTACTACAATTAGTACTTAATTTTGATAAATTCACAGCTCAATCTATTTTATATGAGTACTTACATTTAATGGCCGTCATCATCATCATCAGCCTGTTTGGGCCTTTTATTAGTCCGCTCTATAACTTAGGTACATCTACTACGTTCACATTTAAATATTCAATAAAATCTTCGTCGCGCATTTACGACGCCAACAATTCGATATAATATTGCCTTTAATGACCGGATATATAACCTACTATAGCGCATATTATCTAAAATTACGAATAACAATAAAAATAACAGAATACGATAGCAGCTACAGAAAGCGTAACTAACTAACTAGCATACACGCATCTAGCTATTTAATTATACTTCGCGTTATATGTATTACACTGTATTAAATCTGGGATGACCGCTCCACTGTGATGCCTTGACCCAATTTGATCTGTATCACAAATATTGTATCCACTACCTAGGTACTGAGTTACATGTGGTTAGCCACAGACACGTAATCGAAGTTGGCCAGAAGAAATAACTTCTACCCTGTACTTGTGTTGGACTACACGTAGGTAAATAGGAAACGTTGCAACCCTCACTTACTAAATAATCAAAACTTTTTCAAGTAAATACATCAATCATCAAATCGCATTTCAAATAAGTAATAATATATGTAACATTATTCTGTATATTTGTGAACACTGACTCCTTTTTAAGTTTATTGGAGTGACTGTAAGGAGTTCCATTGCGTTCTGTGTATTTATTTTTTAACTTAACTCAGCAACGTTATTTGGTATGCAGGTAAGTCAGTAAATAAAGATGGTTACCGAGCCACAGGTTACAATTAAATAATACAGTGATCAATTTGAAGAGAATTATGGAGCACGGTAGTGCACCCAGCCAAGTCCAGCAACAAAAAGGCCGCAACAAACTTATTATAATCTTATAATTTCTGTCTAAGCACCTACTTGGATACAACTAGAAGTCTCAAGTAACCAAGCAGACATTGAACAAAATATATCTAGTTTAGTTCACGTCACTCAATGTGAAGCAAAAGTAGTAGACATTCTTAATTTTGCAACTGTTTTTAACAACTTTTTCACTTGAAATACTAAGTAGCGAGGTTTTCATAGAATAAAAAATTACTTTACAGAATAGTAGGTACTGTCCCTGTTCCGAATCAATATTTTTACCTGCATACCAAATAACTCAGCTTATTGAAGTAATAGTATACAATACGTGGGACAGACGGACGGGCCTCGGATCCCTAATACACTGTTTTTCGATGAATTATAAGTACGTATGTTAATCAACTAAGATGTTTAGCAACGTGTTTCAAATTAGAATCGTAGGCAGTGGCCGTGCTAAGGGCACGTGTACTCGACTACTCGTACCTTACGCTTCAATCCTAAACTCGTTCTCAGCCGGTTTCGTGGCCCCACCTTACAGGGACATTCCTAACGGCTGTTGCCGGAAAACTTGCGACATCGTTACCACATTAACTTAATATGGTATACTCAGAGATGTGACCACAAACGCCACTGAATACTCAAAGTACCTATCATGCTGCCTCATGCCTAGCTACCTAAGCTTTACAGTTCAGTATTCTTACGCATAGTCCGTATGGGTCTGTTCTCGAATTTCTTTTCAACTTATATCTTTGCAAATAACTTTTCGTTAGCAAAAAATTTAATAGTCTTCAGTGACGGTACCAATGTGATTTCACTGTCGCAAAGTATTCATGACTATTAATCTAAAAGCGCTACTCCTGAAAATCATTCCAAACATAGAAATTTTGTGAACGAATGAGAAAATCAGATGGTTAAGTCGTAAAGCGATGGCAATATTTCATTGATAGCATTGTATAGCTGTGGCCGGCTTGTTTGTCCCCGAGCTCGGCGCGGCGTACCGACCGATACCGAGTGCAGCCGCACCGGCCGCGCGGAGTGGGGGACTCGAACGTCTCGCTGTGACGTCACACCGCGCGTAATTGCTTCCATTGAGCCGAGCTTGCGCGAACATAGTCGACAACGCCCGAGCGCCAACGTACCGAAGCCAACCGGTGCTACATCTTTTCTAGTACGCGGTCGCCACCGCACAGTGAACACGCTCGCTTGAGGCGACGTAACCATTCGGATGGTAAAATATATTAGTGTTAGCGCGTCTGAGGCCGTCGCCATACAGTGAAGTGAACATTGGTGTCAAAACTTATGATTGTTAGTGTAACCTACGAAAACTATCGCTGTTTTGTGGGTGTAATTTCCTTACGTTGCAGTGAGGTGTATATATGCATATCGTTTTCCATTTCGACCTCGTTTACGTGCCTGTGATTTTACTGGATGCGAGGCTGACTTTCCGGCTTTCTATCTGGCGCATATCAGAAACACGAGTACCCAATCGATGAATGCCCGCGTTCCCGCTGAATGACGGCTCGCACATTGATCGGGTAAGTCCGAATATTGTGGAAGACGCTCCCTATATCGAGCTTTCTATACGCGCGTATAGAAAACAAGCCGCGGAACAAGTGACGAAAGAGAAATCAGTTTTCGGTGTATCTATAATCGCCTCGTAATGTCAATTCGCAATCTGGTGGGTCGCGCAATGTTCGCGAGAGCGGAGGGCGGAACTCTCGGGCTCCGACACGAGCGCCGCCGAGCACAACAAACAGCGGCGGCTAATTATTATCATCTGACAATAACGAAAGGAGGGGCGCCAGTGCCGGCTCGCTGCCGCTCACTCGCGCCTCCCAGCCGTGCAATCATAACCCTCGGTCTTTGAACCGAACCTCCGTTGTCATTGTTATTTTGTTTACGATGTATGTTCTAGAATCAATTATACTTGTTTACTTACCTACATAAAATGTGCACGACTAAATTATGTATCAAACAGGTCTATCGATAAAATTAAGACACTACATCTCGTAAGGACATCACGAACAAACGTTACTTAATGATGCAGAAAATTTACCAATCCTACTTTATAATGTAAATTAATATGTTGATTAGCTGGCCATCTCCATAATCTGATTTTATGAAAACAGAAGTTTTAAAAAAAAATTGGTGATAATTTAAGAAATACCTAACGACAAACGATTTGAACCGCAAAATCCTAAAACATTTTTTTTCTATCTTTCAGGTTCGATCCAGCCGAATGGTGATTGGATGACGATCTCATCGCGCTCCCCAGACAAGGAGCCGTCGCCACCAAAACAGATCAACTTTGCGGAGCCCCTGGTCGAGTCGGTGCGAGTGTACCTCGCCAATGATCTACCATCCAAGCAGCTAGCACTGGTACCGCGCGCGCCTTCGCCGCCACCGTCGCCATCACCGCCTGCCACGCCGCCGCTCTGCGATGTCGACATAGCCTCGCACACCGCACACGAAGAAATCAAAGGAATCAATTTCGAAGCGCGCCTGAAGCGGAATGACCTAAACAACAACGCGTCGCGACAACAAACCGACCGGCGACAGAACGGTGACATGCCCAGCCAAGCAGAGCTCATGCAGCGACAACCGCTGCTGGCGCGCACCGTCAAGGCAGACGCGCCGCAGCCCACCACCGACGAGTCCGACCCCGACCAGGATCACTCACCGCAGCGCACGCATGCAGGGGATTTCATTGTAGAGATTCCGCCCGGCGCCGTCAGGGAGGAGAGATATCCCAAAGAAATATGGAAAACGATAATATCATTCTTCTTCCTATTTTTATGCGTTTGTATAAATATGATGTCACTGTCTTTAGTACACGAACGACTGCCAGACAGAAACACAACGCCACCGCTCAACGACATAATTCTAGACAACGTCGCAGCTCGAGATTGGGGGCTGGCCGTGTCCGAGTATCTCATCATGATATCGACGACAGTAGCCATGCTGGTGGTCGTCTTCCACAAGCATCGGTTCATCGTCGCCCGACGCCTGTTCTTTATAATCGGTCTATTGTACCTGTACCGGTCGGTCACCATGTTCGTGACCGTGCTACCGGTGTCCAGCACCACATACTACTGCAGCCCCAAGAGTAATAACACCACGCCACTACTAGTCATCAAGAGAATGTTCTACTTAATATCTGGCTTCGGTTTGTCAATAAATGGCAAGCACACGTACTGCGGCGACTACATATACTCAGGGCACACCATGGTCCTAGTGCTAAGTTACCTCATCGTAGCAGAGTACTCGCCGAAGAAGCTGTGGCCGATGCACTGGGCCATGTGGGGCTCGGCGCTGCTCGGCGTGTCGTTCGTCCTGCTGGCACACGGCCACTACACGGTGGATGTGGTGATAGCGTATTACGTGACGACCAGGCTGTTTTGGACGTTCCATTCCCTGTTAGTGACGCCTCACCGCAGCGGCAACGGCTACAACCACTACATGATCCAGCGGGAGTGGTGGTACTGGCTGTTCACGTACCTGGAGCGCAACGTGCGCGGGCCGGTGCCGCGCCGCTACGACTGGCCGCTGCCATGGCCGCGCACCAAGCTCTTCAGCCGGCTCAGCTAGTGACGCGCGCGCGCGACGCTGCCGCCGCCGGAACGCGTATGACGCTCACCTTTTGCGAGTGCCGTTTGAGGACCTGCAGCTCCTTGGGGCTGGTCCGCGTGCAGATGGCCAGCGTTAGCGTATAGTCGAACTGATGCACGATCAGATTAAGATAGACCGTCTCCTCCCAGTCGATTTCTGGGTCTCCGATGGGCAATTTCTTGGAATCCTTGCGGAACACCTCAACGTCGGTCTGCGAACATAGCGGTCAGTGGTCAGCGGCAGGCGTCGGCGCCCTCGCCCGGGCGCACTCATGTATATTCGGCTGTGCTTAAGAACGATCGCGTGAACCAAGTTGTGCGAGCGCTGAGTGTGAAATGTGATAATTCGCAAAGTGAGCATAATATTTATTTCCTCACGACTATCGCAAACTGTTCTATAGAAAGTGATGATTTCGTAACTGCTTTTATTGTTGAATATAATGTAAGATTTGATTTTATTTGACAAAGAACAATAATCGATCAATTATGTACTGTCGACTGTTGATGGAATTCTTGTTTTTGTAAATTGTATAGTTTATAAGTGGTTATAGACAACCTCGAATCAAAGTTGAAACTTACTAAGTATTTATTAGAAATATATATACTGTGATGAATGTATAGTTGGGAACGAGTGAATGTACTGCGGCCATGTCTGGCTGCGGCCAGGACGTGCGCGCGACAAGTACATGTAGTTGTTGTACCAGCAGCCTACTATAAGAAATAATATTTTTATATTGTTTAAATAAAGTACATACTTAACTGTTGTTAATTCATACTTTTGTATTTTAAAATTAATACCATCTACAGTTAAACATACGTCATCATGGTGCTAGATTACAAAACAAATTAGCAACCCCCTTCACTACCGAGGCTACACCATTACAAGGCCTAAGGTGTATCTTACACTGCAGTACTGGTTCAACATTAGTTATGGTAATCAGCTTGAATAACAGCTGCAACTCAACAATAATACGCAAACAATAACATGTCCGGCTGGGTTGTATATTCACAAACAAGTCCACCCGCGATGTCTATTGTGTGTTGACAGAAAGTCTCTTGTACCTGCATGTTGAACAAACATTTATTGCTGCTTCTATACTAACTCATAACATTACAACTCCAAAGACAATTATAACTATTCTCAAAATAATAACACCGTATTCATCACAATTTGGTTTTCATAATATGTAAAGCAAAAGTCAGACATATTTGAAAACGTTGCCCCACACTAGGAGTATCTCGTGCGTGAAACGTGGTTGCGTTTACATAGATAAACAAAATCACAGACACATCACACCCGGACCGGACAACAATTTGTGGATCGCAAAGAGTTGTTGTGTGTTGCAACTCTGCAAGTCCCACTGCTATACACTATACAGTGTTTAATTATTGCGGTGCGGATGCGACGGCTAACTACTGGCTTACCTCGTACTTGGGCAGGTAGCGGGAGGATCCCTTCACGTGTCGCTTCCTAACAAAAAACAACAAGTCGTCGCAGTCTATCGACTGCTCCTCTTGGAACAGGAAGTGCCGCACAAACAGATCTGTCCAGTACGTTGTTCCTTGCAAAACTACGAAACCGCAATCTGAAAATATTGCAAAGTGCTGTAATTTAGTTTCGCAAATGTATTGATATATTTGTACACAACATTATCATAGACGGGGCTGAAGGTGACACTAATGTTGCTACGCTTGCCGTCTCGCTTAGACTGTATGTCTTACAAAGTGGTCTAAAGGTCCACACGTGTTGTTTACTAAGTGCCTTCAAAATATTCTTAGATCGTCTGAACTGTCTAAATTCTCATTAAATAGATACATGCTGCTTTAAAAAGGTATCTTTTCACTTGAACGTATTCTTACGACAAACGACCCATGACGTTGTATCTCAGTGTGCTCTGCTCTCCCTGATGCGTTGTTACAGGCACTCTGACAATTACTTATTTGTTAATGCCTTCTATTGAGATATGTATTTGGACTTCTGCTGTATTTACATAATTTATAAATACACTGTTCTTGTACTGCACTTCTGACCTGATTTGTAAATATTATTGATAACAATGGTTAAGTTACGTTGGTTAAAACAAAACATTATTTTGTTCCTTATTTTTGTAAAATTAGTATATTTGTTGATTGAAAATTTCAAATTGTAATGTATTACAACGGATCGGCTTTATGTGTATCTGCTGGAGATCACAAGTACTAGAGATAAAACAAAAATTTGAACAAGTCTGTCCGAGCTGTTGCCTGTGGAAACTGATTATAACAATAAATTACATAACGACGGTATTCAACAGTTGAATAAGTTGTTATATACTACATTCCTGTATATGAGGTGTAACATATATAAACTAATATAAAGAACGCGCAACTATTTATACCATGATGTTGTAAAGTTAATTAAATAGCTGTTTTTCTTAAACCTGTATTTATACAATTCCTCTTTCCTGCGAGTTGTGATAAAATGAAATAATTTCCTCAACATGTACAGCGAGTAAAGGCATTAAATAAATATAATTATTTATAATGAAACTACGTTTGAAAACAAGCTTCAAAAGGGAAACATCCTAATCTGGTGCCCTAATGAATCATCAGCCAATAACAACGTGCCTTTTACTGTGCTCTATGGTACTGGCACTACCTATACTACCTACTATAGACTTACAGAGTACAGCGAAGGTGTCATCGAAATTATCATTATCATACCAACATAAAATTGTATTTATTAAGTATTTATATTTTTTATGTGAAAATAATTATAAATGGGGCATCCTTATGAAAATTACACATAAATTAACGCTGTACACATGATGCACCTTTAGTTCTGTTATTTCAGGCACGGGCTAATTATCGAGCGAACCTACATACGCCCTAACAGACATCGCACATTCTGCGAAATATTTTTGAAACCGTAAGTGAGCCGAACACTCAAAAGTTCGTGAATTGTTTGTGTTTGTGATTGTTTATCTTCACACACCGATAAACAATCCAAACTCCTCTCAAACAGAGAATTTCGAATTCAAAAAAGCAGCGGTTCGAGATTTTTACGCGTATGTAGCGCATAAGTCCTAAAGAAACCAAATTAGACATTTCTACTTATACGAATTTGCGATTGTTATGATCGTGGTAAGAAAATAATAAAAAATAAACTATTTTGAAAGCGGACATTCAGCTTGGGTATGTACCTATGTACCTTTTAGTCTATAATAGGTAAGGTGTACAGAGAACAAACGACGCATCATCACCAGCTTGTAAGAGCCAACTACTGTTCAAAGACCTCTTCTCAAACCGAGACGGCAAGCATTAATCACCACGTTTACTCAACCCGGAATGGCGATTACAAACTTATAAATATAAATTACAAGGTCAGGTTTCCTCCCGATGTTTTCCTTTAACGTACATCAGTGGTCTAAATAATTTTTGTCAGGAACATGAGAAGCCGCCGCCTTAACTTCGGGCTAATTTAGGCATGACATTTTTTGGCCTAATTTATCAAATTAAAGTTGTTTACGAGGGGATGGAAAGCCTCCTTTCTGGAAGTGACATATCTACTATCTATCCTGATATTTCACACCGAGATATCTTCGAATGAAATTTGTGGAACCATGCAGTCACAAGGCGGTTAGGTTATCCTACTGTCCTACTAATATTATAAATTTTAAAGTTAGTGAGAATGTATGGATGTATGTTTGTTATTTTTTTCATGTTAAAACGGCTGGACTGATTTGGTTGAAATTTAGTATGATGAGTGATGCCATGGATTAACACATAGGCTGCTTTTTTAAACATACGTAAATATTATTTTTAAATGAGCATAAAAGTTCTGTATTATTATTTTACGGTAAAGACATTGTCCTAACCGTTAGGACACACCGGTTAGGGCATTGTCCTAACCGTTAAGTAACCGTTAAAGCAACCTTCGGGAAAATATTGTCATATTGTGTCGCCACATCAATTTTATATTAATGCGATGATCGTAACCATTGCATTAGACATATTTTTCCGAGCCAAATTATTTTCATTTGCTTAGTTTACTTAATTACTGCCAGAGCATAGCATAACCATATCTATTAATATATAACAGAAGGTCGTGTTATTTATAATTCAAGAACGGCAAACATGATTAGGCTGAAGTACAGTTTTTTTCAGTTTGGTAAAGAGAAAGCTTAGGACCAGTAGAGGACAGAGACATAGGACTTTGTATCTTTCTAAACCACAACTTCCCTAAAATGAGGAGTAGAAGTTCTCTTAGAACATTCTGAACTTTTTAACAAAAAACCCTGCATTATTATTACTATTTGTATGTATTTACCAATAGCTTGGGAGTATACGAGGGGCCGACTGCGCAGAGGCCGTTTAGACAACTTTGATCTAAACGATAAGGGACACAAACTGGCGACTATCCTTCTATGCACTTTAGAAGTACACCCAAGAACAGTCCTCGGTTAGTGTAGGACTATGGACTATTGCGAATAATGGAAAGAAGGGATAAGGCTACTGGCGTGGGTTGCTATGGACTGGTATGATAGGAATTATGGAAGGACTATGGCACCTGCCGTAACCATGTAAATTATACACGTAACAATGGCAGATGGAGACTCGCCAACTCACCGACCGGCGCCTCGGAAATGGTTGCTAGCAATAGCAACATAGGGACAACGGAAATGTGAGTGGCTGAAGGATGAAGAAATCGCATCATCACCATCATCTGCATCTGCCTAAGCATACTGCATCACTGGCCCACTCGCCGCTTACGAACAGCTTTCACCCTTCGAGCAGGATCACTACTCTCTCGACTCCACTCTAAACGGTCTCGGGAGAAATGTTCCTTATCATCGTTCACTCCGGCCAGCCAATAAAGGCAAGCCGAAGAGAACCGACGAACTGATTGACAGATTATATTCTTTTTTGACGTTTCAATAGTACTTGTTAACGGTTTAGTTGCAATAAATGATTTTGACACACTTTGAATTGGTACACAATCATATTTGTAACCAACGTAAAATATATAATATTTTATGGCATAGGTCGGCAAACGACATTTGTCGAGAGTATTTTTACATTCTATACCCGAATGGAAAAACATATTATATTATCGTCTATTTCAATTACAGAGTTCTTTTCTGTGTTCCAAATGAAGGGTGCCGTGTTACAACGAATATAACGGGAGCGTAGCCGCTCGCTAGCTAAAGCTAATATATAATATATGGAATATGGATTAAAGCTACCCTTGTATGCATGAGTCAGCGTACTCCCCTATCTAAATAGACAGTTGAGTCATTAGGTCACGGTTCAGTGAACACTAAGTGAGTTAGGAGAGCGAGAGTTTATTAATTTAAATTTGTAACTACTGCTGTACCGCTCCTTCTTATCGCCATCGTAGTTTGTTAAACGTCCATACTTCTGTTATGAAAGATTTTTTGGTGGACGTTTTATTAACGCCGGTGTTTCTCAGGGGTCAGCACTTTCAGCAACGCTCCTTTACCGCACATTATGAGTTACTTCAGTCTGGTATCTTAGATTATGCATATGATAGAACAGTCGTCCCGTCTCTGAGTGAATCTATGGTTGAAAGCTTGAAATCAACCTGAAAGGCGGTCTCCGACTGTGGTTACGCCAACTTGTCCAAGTTTAATGCAAAACCCAGCTGTGTCTGATCTCCGTCTACCAAATGGAGTCAATTCCTGCTAGTCTTGTCTTGTCCAATGTGAGTCGGTACTTAACGCCAGAACAATTGCTTAATCTAATCTATCAAGTCACGCAAATTCGGAACTGTGTGGAGTACAGCTTTTAACTTTGAGACGACTCTGCTACATACAGACACACCAGAACACTTTGAGACACGTAGAAAGAGGTTAATCAATGACGAAGCGTTAGTGAAGCCCGTCTTCCAAGACAGGGTCAAAGTTGTAAACCCTTGGATTTTCTATCAGATACATTTCGGTCAATGTGGGAAATACACAACCTGGTTCCCCCTAGTACTTCCCTAGCTCCACCATCGTACCAGCACACAATCGGACACGAAGTGTTTCGCCTCCAGTTAAGTGTGGAATTCTTTGCCGGAGTCTGTGTTTTTCACGAAGGACATAAATTTTACCTGAGCATTTATCTTCAAGGCCTGAGTAGATACATAGGTTGCTTATGGAAGCGAAGATGCGAAATGCGGTGAAGTATGCCTAATACTCCATCGTATTTCGCATCTTCGCTGGCCACCTGGCGAAATAGGTAGTGACCAAACGACGTTCCGCGTTTGGCAAACGCCCATGATGGGTAAAAAGCATGAATTTCTCGAACTTACAGGTCAATTAATTTTTTTTTTATATGCTTATTCTCTATCATAATTGATACCTCTATAGAATGGGAACACGATCAGATTACTGAGGAAAAACAGTTTCTTGTGCTTAGTATGCGGCAACAATACTCGCAGCAACAAATTTGGCCGTCAGCCTGATGGTCCATCACTTAGGTATTTCTGCAACACCAGTGCCATAAAAACTGCGTTGCCGATTATGTAGCAAATTGTTAAATTGCCCCAAGATTTAAGAGATTTTTTTCGCGGAAAAAGAACAGAGCGTCATCATATTGGTTT